CCCGCCTTCTGCTCGCAACCAGAGGCTCCCAGCTGGGAGGCGGGGCCGCGATTGGCGCTGGGAGCCTCTGGTCATGTGCAAAATCTGGGTGGAGGGAGTGGCTGGGAGTCCCGACCCCCGCTCCGCCCCGCCTAGCTTTTTGCACGGGACCACAAGGCTCCCAGCAGCAATTGCAGCCCTGCCTCCCAGTCGCTCCCCTGCCCCCGCCAGGCTTCTGTCTGGCGCCTAGACGGAAATTCAGAAAATACCGGACACTGCACATGTCCGGTATTTTCTGAATTTTTCTACCAGACAGAGGGTGCAAATTCCAAACTGTCCAGTAGAAAACAGGACACCTGGCAATCCTAGGTGCAGGGTGTAGGCAGGCTGGGCTCTCTGCCTGCTGCAGCTCCAGAGCATTGAAAATGCAGCCTGCTCCCTCCACGAGGCTCTCAACTCTGGGAAGGGGGAGAGGCTTGTGCTGTCCCCATCCCCCAGGCCAGTCTCTCAGCTCTCATTGGCTGGGTGTTTCTGGCTAAGAGGAGCTGAGGATTGTGCTGGAAGAGGAGAGATCACCTGACGCCTCCCCCTCCTTCTGGAATATAGAGTCACACAGAGCAACCCTGCATTTAAAACAGTGGCTGAAGTGTGCCTGAGGTTCCTGGATGGAGCATGTGTGGGCTGGATCTGGCGGTTTGGAGGGATGAATCCGGCCTGTGAGAGGTATCTTGCCCACCCCTGCACTAATGCTACCTGACACAATGATCATTGCCCTTGTAGAGTGTATACCTGCTCCTCTAACCTCTGCCTGACTCAGACATGCCCCCAACTTGCAGTGAGCTGCATGTGGGCAGAGAAGTCACCTACATGCAGCATGCTGCAGGACTCAGGCTTTCTCAAAGAGAAGAGCACAAGGACTCTGAACCTGCTCTCCCCTTGACCTGCGAAAGCAGAAGTCAACCCTGTTTGGCAACAATGAGAAGCTTTTCAAGTCTTGGGTCATTTACCTATGCCGATGACACAGACATCTGCGCGGAGGACTTTCCCACTTTTCAGGACAACTTCCTTAAGCTTCAGGAAATACAGATGAAACACTTGATTACTTTAAAGGAAAAAAAAAAAAGAACTAGCAATACCCAGAAGAGCTGGAATCTCTCTGCAGCACACGAAGTAAGGGACAATGACTCCATTGTAATTCTCCTTCAACAAAGAGATTATCCTGCTGGAGTCTCACTTGTGGGTCTTGCCTCCCTAATGTAAATGCTGTTGCTGTGCAGCTTTTCTGAGCCCTAATGACAGTGGTAATGCATGCTATAGATTGTACCAGCCTCCCCTTTGGCTGGTGCTCACCAACCATCCTAGATTCTAATTGCTGTCCAGATCCCCAGGGTTGAAATCTCTCCACAATAATAAATTCAGGTTGAGAAGTCTATGGGGGCCCTCAGAAAGGTGCTGATGGGTGTGGGGCCAGAATGTGAATTAAATAGAGCAGCATCAAGAAGAAACAATAAGCCAGCAATACAAGTCAACCTCACCTCTGACAGCAAGCCCTCTGGGCTCCTCTGGGAATGTAAACAGGGGAGGGGGCAAATTAGGACTGGCATTACTATTTTCTCTGTGCTTGGGTTTTCTCCTGCAGTATTTAATTAATGGGTGGGCCAGGCACATTGGTTTCACGCAGAATATTTGGGTCTTTGTAGTGATGTCACAGGATAAGGCCTCCCCAGCTCTTTCCACAGGAGTCATAGGTGCCCCTAGGGGTGCAGGTTAGGTACAGTGCCTGCACCATCACCCCCTTTGAGCTCCTCACACTATCCCTGCCCTTCCAGACACTTGTGCACAGGTCAGGCATAGTCGAGCCCATAGTCCTTTTCTCTTAGCCCCACAGTACTTGACTCCTGTGGAGCACCAGCCACTGTACCTTGCCCTCCTGTTCCCGCAGCTCAGACACTTCAGTCTGCATGTAGAACTTCACCCGGTTGTTCTCAAACATCTGTGCAATGAGAAAGACAAGCTCTTAGCTCTTAGCTCAGCCTCTGAGTAAGGCCTCTTAGCTCAGCTTGAGTATGCACTGGACATGGGCTCTGAGCTTCTCTGCATCTTGCTTGCTCAGGGGCATGCCATAATTTTGCAGTGTATGAACACAAAATACTGGAGCTCACTGCAATTCAGACAATAAGGGGAGGACATGGCAAATGTTTTCTTTTAGGTGTCAACCACTGCACAGACATTATAGTTCCAAAACCCCACACATATTTAATACGCCAAATAAACCAAACACAATGATACCATTAACTGGTAGTGCCAGCAAGGACGCAAGGCATACACAGCTGTCCTCTGCACAGCAGAAACCAAAGTCACTGTCTCCCTCGTTTGATCCAAAATAATCCTCTAAAAGACTGGCAGGTCATAATCACCTTCATGAGAGCTTGGCCAACCTTCTCCCCAAAGAACTTCTTGAAGGGCACTTCTTCCAGCTCAACCACAGACACGGAATGGGCTTTTTCTGTGAGGTAGGCTGCCACCTCCATCCCTGGGGAACAGAAGCATGTTAGAAACAGTATCCCATTCCTCCTCACCTCCCTCCTCCCTGCACTTCAGTGAGGTCTCTGGAACTGGATTCAAGAGCGGGCAGGTGGTGATGTAAGAACTTTCAGTTTTCCCTTTTGTGACTGGGAACTGCTGCTAATGGCATGTGCATCTGCCTTTGGATTCAATGGGTATGTCTACACTGCATGGCTATTCGGCATACCTCTGATACCCGGAAATAGCTAACCCACCTCTTCACAAGCTGCCCGTTATCTTGAAAAATATTTTGAAATAACAGGCACACTATTTTGGCATCCCTGTAACCTTTGTTCCATGAGGGTTAAGGGATGTCTTGAAATAGTGCGTTATTTTGAAATTTGGCACTGTGTAGACATGCCAAATTTCAAAATAAGCTATTCTGAAACAGAATCAAAATAAGATACACAATTTGCATAGCAAGGATGCTATGCATTGCAGATGGCATGAAGAACGTTTTCCTAGCAAGTCACTCTCACAGTCTACTGTAAGTGCTAGGAGACCATCTTTTTATTATACAGTAACCGCACCTCTTCCCCTTTTAACACCTCTTCCCCTTTTAACAGAATCTGATCCTTATTGGGTTCTTTGGTATGACTGCAATATGAGGACTGCTGCTGGTATTCATAATGATAGTCAAGGCTCAGCATGACATGAGTCACCTTAAGCAGACTGATTCCACTTCAGGATGTTAAGAGTATTCAAAGGGTGGGAAGAAACAAAATCATTTGATCTCCAAAGGGCTTCATAGTGATGGTCCAAAAACAATGACCAGTAATTAATTTGTGAAATTCTGACTAGGAAGAAACTATAACAAGGCTTTGAAGACTGACATAAGGTGGGACCAACACAGCTACAACTCCACTGCAAATAAAAATGGTTATTAAGTATATGAGGGTATGTCTACACTACCACCCTAGTTCGAACTCTTGTGGTTAATGTAGGCAACCGGAGTTGCAAATGAAGCCCAGGATTTGAATTTCCCGGGCTTCATTTGCATATTGCCGGGCGCCGCCATTTTTAAATGCCAGCTAGTTCGGACTCCGTGCCCGCGGCTACACGCGGCACGGACTAGGTAGTTTGGGATTAGGCTTCCTATTCCAAACTACCATTACTCCTCGTGGTGTCCGAACTAGCGGACATTTAAAAATGGTGGCGCCCGGCAACATGCAAATGAAGCCCGGGAAATTCAAATCCTGGGCTTCATTTGCAACTCCGGTTGCCTACATTAACCACAAGAGTTCGAACTAGGGTGGTAGTGTAGACATACCCTCATATACTTAATAACCATTTTTATTTGCAGTGGAGTTGTAGCTGTGTTGGTCCCAGTATATTAGATATAAGTGGTGGGAGATATAACATCTTTTATTGGATCAACTACTGTGGCTGAAACAGACAAGCTTTTGAGAACCACACACCTGAAGAAGACCTCTCTAAAGCTCAAAAGTTTGTCTCGCTCACCTACAGAAGTTGGTGAAATAAAAACATTACCAAACCTATCTTCTCTTGCTCATTTAAAACCTTAGCATTATGCATTGAAGAACTAGGAGTACTACTACTTTGCCGCTGGTATCATAGTCAAGCTAATCTACTATACATTTTTGAGGTTTGTCTGTCTGTTTGTCTGTGAATTTCTCATAAATGGTAAGAGATAGGACTGTCAAATTTGGTATGCAGCTTCCTCCTTAAAGAAACCAAAGGTTCGGTTGTGCCAGGAAAAGGGGATGTGCTTGGAATGGGATTGCTTCTCATAAAACCAAACCGAAAAGAGACCGAACCAGTAAAGCAAGTACAGTCCTCAAAAATGACAGAACTGAATGAATGGGATTCTTGAGATGATCTGCCCAAGACCAAAACTCACCAAGGAAAGAAGCTCCCACTATAACTGCATTCTTGCTGCTGGCCAGTTTCACTACCCGGTTGGCATCTTCAGGGGTTCGGATGTTGAAAACATTCTCAACTTCTTTGCCTTTACAGCTAAGGGCTTTGGGCCTGAAAAACATATATTTATGTTAGGTTTCAATTGTGGCTTTGTTATCTGTATTTTTTCTATTACTAAGTATGTCTCTGTAGGCGCTGCATGGAGCTATTCAAAGAGCCAATACACCTTCTAATATAACTACAAGTGATCTTTCAGCCTGCTGCTCCAATAGTTGCAGAAGTAGGTATAAAACTATCATAAGAGAAGTTTTCTGATCCCCAGCAGTTACTGATTGGCTGGATATCTCGGGTTCCTTCTTTCACAAGTGTATGTCCTGTTTAATGTAAAATATAATGTAATGTAAAATATTATTATTATCATCATTATCATTATTACTATTTAATGTAAAATATTCTGTGTGAAGAAATATTGCCAACACATCATTGAATGTCACACTGACCCTCAGGATCCCCCCCTACCAATGTCACAAGAGGAAAACCTCTATGTGGACCCTCCCAACAGTGTGGACTTCTATGTTGACTGCTTCCGCAAATGTGCACAGAGGCTGACATTGTGAACAAACAACATCATGTGACATCATCTCAGCCAGGCAGAATGCAACGCTATCCACAGCCTCAAAAACAACTCTAACATTAAAATCAAAGAGGCTGACAAAGGGGGCACTGTAGTCATCATGAACAGGACAGATTACAAACAAGAGGCTGCCAGACAACTCACCAACACCACATTCTACAGGCCTCTTTCCTCTGATCCCACTCAGGAATGATCTGCTCATGAAACTCCCTGCTACAAGTCAGGATCAAATCTATACGAATACCCACCTTCTCAGATCCCTGACCAGGAGTATTTTATCTGCTACCCAAGATCCATAAACCTGGAAATCCTGGACATCCCATCATCTTGGGCATTGGCACACTTACAGCAGGATTATGTTGACTTTCCTCTTAGACCCCACGTTGCCAGCATTCCTAGCTACCTTTGAGATACCACTGATTCCCTGAGGAAACTATAGAACATCTCTTTTCCTGTTTTTTTTCCGTGAGAAAGGCCTATTCTTTGTCAGGCATTTCACAGTAAGAGAAGGGTCAGAGATGTGAGTCCCCAGTGGAGAGAGAGCCTTTCCTCCAATCCAAAGTTAGGTGAGAACATGAGTTTAGGCTCCTTGGCTAGCTCAGGACTCAGGAGGCTCTTCATTGTGTTTGCTGTGTTCTGCAAATCCCTCTCTTAGGCACCTAACTCTCACTCCTGCATTGTGTAGGGAGCCTGGGCACCAAACTCAGGCCTGAGAAGTCCGCTGGGTGGCAGACAATTAAAAATTAGGCATTGCAAGTGCTTTGCAACATCTCAATCTCTAGTGGATCCAGCCCTAAGGGATCTTAGGGATCACCTCTGAAAATGAGATTTAGGCTCTTTTGTAACTTCAGTGCTTTTGAAAATTTTACCCAGGAGTTTGGATTTTTAAAATAATTTAAGATAATATCATAACATATAAACCTTTAGGACTGGATTCCCAAACAAACTCAAGCATGACAGTGCAGGCTTACTGGAGAGCCGGAATACATTTTATGTGCACTGAGGCATGTGTGAATGAGTACCACCAGTAGAAAAAAACTCTAGCGGTGGGCACTCTGCAGGTACATCAACACAGTAGTGCATACGTCAAAATAAGCTATGCAATTTGAGCTATGCAAACTGCGTAGCTTATTTCAAAATAGCTTACTTTGAAATTTGGCGCTGTCCACACAGCACTAATTTAAAAATCAATCACTGTTCCAGCATCTTCTTTAATCCTCATGCAACAAGATTTACAGGAAGCCGGAATAAAAAGCCCGTTATTTGAAATGTCTTTTGAAATAACAGGTGTGTTCTTAAGACACATAGAACACTATTTCGGGTTAATGGCCATTACCCTGAAATAGCACCGCTGTGTAGACATACCCTGCTAATCAGGCAGGCAGCATTTAAATCTTTCTTGAGAAGCTGCACAAGGACACAGTTTACCGGGAACAAGACTAATTTGATTATGACTAAACATCACTTGAACTTCTGCGGCGGTGTTCCTTCAAAACCTCATACATTAAATAAAAATATAGTCCATGAAAACTGCAACTCCATTTGTTCATTAACAGTTCTGCTATGTGTCTTTGGCAAATTTCATTGGTAATCCCAAAAGCAAAATTGAGAGCAACATCTCCTAAAGGGCGTGATAAATGGAGTCAATTTTAGAACTCTCTTTGGCTAAAGGAAGTTTGTCAGAATGTGATTGAGACATCCAATTTGGAGAAGACTAGCTCCTTTTGCTTTAGGGAGGAAGTCATCCAGGGTACAGCTACACTGGGGTGGGAGGAGGTTCGAAGAAGGTATGCAAATTGAGCTCGCATTGGCATATCTTCTTCCAATTTTTTTTCCAGAAGAGGATTTTCCGATATTTGGCCCATGTCCAAATGTCAGAAAAAACCCTCTTTCAAAAGTCCCCTGAATACCTCATTTTACGAGGAATGAGGGGGCTTCCAAAAGAGTTTTTTTTCCTGAAATTTGGCTCTGTGTAGACAGGCTAAATATCGGAAAATCTTCTTCCGGAAAAAAAATCGGAAGATGATATGCAAATGCAAGCGCAATTTGCATACCTTCTTTGAAACCCTCCCCCCCCCCCCCCCCCCACAGTGTAGCTCTACCCCCAGTGCTGGGAGGAAATATTTTTTCTTTTACAACTCTATCATTAAGTCATTAAAAAGCCACACAGGCTCATATTTTCCCATTAATCTTTGGCTGTTGACTGAGATTTTCTTGATAGTGCCAATCTGTTCCAGGCTCTTTAACTCATTTCCCCCCTTTAAGAAGCAATGGGATAGGTAGGAATCTTGCAAGCTGACTGTCTATAATATGAGTCAACAACCTGAGTGCTCTGGTATGGCAAACAGGTGCAAAATGTCCACATACCTGATGGTAGTCTGTGGGGCTCAAAGCATCCTGGGGTATTACATGGGGGGTGTGGTGCAGGATGGCCGCAGGGGTCAGACTGCCATGAAAAACAGAATGGAACATCAGCCTGTTCCACTCTGCCATCTCTCAGCTGAGTCACTCTACTTCCCCAGGCGGCGGTGAGTGCAGGAGGCCAAACCCCTGCTGCAATCCAGTAATTCCTGGATACATTTTCTCTGTAGAAGGGGTTTTGAGGAAGGGGTGCAATGGGGTGGGAAATGGTGGAGCAGAGGTTGGAAGAAGTGGGGTTTGGGTGGAGAAGGGGTGGGCTTAGGAGAAGGGATGGTGTGGGGACAGAGTAGGGGCAGAGCAGGGAGGGAAGACGCAGGGTGGGGGGGTGGCCTGGGGCACAGTGGGGTTGCCCTGAGCCCCACACCTTTCTAGGGATGGTCTTGACAACATGACTGAGGCTATGTCTAGACTGCAAGCCTCTTTCGAAAGAGAGCGTCTAGACTGCACGGAGAAATTTCGAAAAAGCGGCTTGCTTTTTCGAAAGAAAGCATCCAGTGAGTCTGGATGCTCTCTTTCGAAGAAGCCCTATTTACATTGAAGAACGCCTTCTTTCGAAAGTTCCTCTTTCGAAAGAAGGCGTTCTTCCTCGTAAATTGAGGTTTACCGCCATCGAAAGAAAAGCCGCGTTCTTTCGAAATTAATTCGAAAGAACGCGGCTTGAGTCTGGACACAGGGGAAGTATTTTCGAAAAAAGGCTACTTTTTTCGAAAAAAACCCTGAGTCTGGACACAGCCTGAGTGAGAACAGGTTGCATTTTGTTCTCGTGCATTCACTAACCTGGCAAAGACAGACAGTTGGCTACTGGAGTTTTATAAAGAACCTGATCTGGTAGGTGGTTGGGGCAAAACTGACAGAGGGAGGAGAAGAGGGAGAACTTCTCTCAACTTTTAGCCCCGTGGTTAGGGCAACTTTGAGCAGGCAGCCATATAAGCTAACTAATGGGAGATGCCAACCAGAAGTGTATTGTAAGCCTTGCCCCCATGTTCACGATTTACCCATTGATACTTCTGTTTACACAGCTATTTATTATAAATAGTGTCTGAACAATATTTTACCTGGAGTATTGGTCATCAGTTTGTGCTTCAATAGTCACTATCCACCAGACTCCTGATGCCTAATTGATAACATGGTGTTGGTTTTGCTTCCTAGTTGGATTGCTCTAAAACACAATTTTCAGTTTTGTCTGCACAAACCTTTCCAGCATGAATGGATAGTCATGTGAACATATATTCAGACTAGGCTTCATATAGCCATATAATCACACTTTCCTTTTCTCCAAATTTTCATGCAAACAAATTCATCTGGCCAATGATTAATTCAGTTCCAGTGTTAGGTTGCTGGCCTAGATTTACAAAGGTATTTAGGTACACCTCCCTTTCACGCATCTAGAGAATGAAAGCCTGAGTTAGGTTCCCATGCTGTTTTTCCAATGAATTGGGAGAGACAGGTGCCTTAGACTGCAGTTCTCAAAAGCCAACAGGCTTGGAAAGGACTGTATATGAGATACCATTAGGGTGTCCAAAGTCCAACCCTTCTCCTGGAAAAAGGTGCCTTGAACCTGGGCTGCTGAGGGAGACCTAGCTCTGCTAGGGTACGTCTACACAGCAACATTGTTTCAAAATAACTAGCGCTATTTCAAAATAACTTAGTCCGTGTCTACACAGCTGGCAGTTATTTCAAAACAGTGTCAAAATACTGTCAAGCTGGAGGACTTCTTAATCCAACTCCTGTAACCCTCATTGCACGAGGAGTTAGGGAAGTCAGAGGACGAGTGCTCTATTTCCAAATAAGTGCTGTGTAGAATAGATGCTTCCAATTTCTAAATAAGCTATTTTGAAATAAGCTATTCAATTGACGTAACTCAATTCTTGTAGCTTATTAAGAGTTAAGACCTGCAGTATAGACACACCCCTGGTGATTCTCAGCTGCAAGTCCTCTTTGATGTCAGGTACCTAAAGGAGTGTTTTACAAAGAAACAGACGCTTCCTCATTGGGCCAGAGAGAGAGTGCATGACTCTCCTGGTGGCTAGTGCATCACCTGGGATCCAGTCTTGCTGCTCCAGTGTTTCTTTAATGGTTTATCCATAGTGGCATAGCTTCATCAGGAGAATGTTAAGCAGCCCCACGAGAGAATAGCCCATAGTTCAGTGGTTGGAGCACAAACCAGAGAGGCAACAGATCCCTGTTCAAATTCCTTCTGGTCAGGCTGGGAGGGACATGAGCCAGGAATCTGATGTCCCAGGTGAATGCCCTAATCACTGGGCTAAGAGTTGAGGAGCCCTTGAGGTGAATTGTGCCAACTCACCTGAGAAGCACAGTTGAAGAAGCATGCTCTGAGGACACCTATCTGACTGGGCCTCATACACAAATGAGGTGCCCAAATGTTTATCTGCCTCCAGTTCACAAATTGCTGTGGGGTTCTGGTGGGAGATAGGCCTTCAGACACCTGAAGGTAGGTAGCATAGGCATGCCCAGAGGCAGAAACATGTGCATCAAGGTCTTTTTTTAAATAGAAAAAAGTAGGTGCCAAGTGAGTTGAGGCACCTGTCAGGTTCAGTGGCAATTTTGAGAGTCACAATGGAGCCTAAAGTGGGATTTAGGCCCTAAATTTGGCGGTTAATTATCTAAGCACCTTTTGAATTTAGACCTTTACAACTACCCACAAACTCCTTGGCTACGTCTAGACTGGCATGATTTTCCGCAAATGCTTTTAATGGAAAAGTTTTTCCGTTAAAAGCATTTGCAGAAAAGATCGTCTAGATTGGCACAGACGCTTTTCCACAAAAACACTTTTTGCGGAAAAGCGTCCGTGCCAATCTAGACGCGGTTTTGCGCAAGAAAGCCCTGATCGCCATTTTCGCCATCGGGGCTTTTTTGTGCAAAACAGTTTTTAGCTGTCTACACTAGCCCTCTTGCGCAAAAACATTTCCGGAAAAGGGCTTTTGCCTGAATGGGAACATCAAAGCATTTGCGCAAGAAACACTGATTTCGGACATTAGAACGTCAGTGGTTTTGCGCAAAATCAAGCGGCCAGTGTAGACAGCTGACAAGTTTTTGCACAAAAGCGACTGCTTTTGTGGAAAAACTTGCCAGTTTAGACGCAGCCCTAATGTTCTCACTAGTGGACTTACCTGGCATTGCCCAGATCTTCAGGGCACAGAGCTGGTAGTGTGTGTGTGTGTGTGTGTGTGTGTATGTGGTGGGGGTGCCTTGAGAATGTGGGGAGTGGGGTGTAGGAGGCTGGGGTGGGGTATGTAAGGATGAGGATTGGGGAAGGGTTTAAGGCATGGGGGCCCAATTAGAACAGGCCTTTTCTTTCCCCATAACTGCTCCACTGGCCACGAGGGGTGTTTTCTCTCCCCCACTCCCGACTCTACCAGCCACAAGGCACCATTTTTCTCCACTTCCCTCCTCCCTCTCCCTCCCTCTGCCCCTCCAGTGCAGTGGCCAAGAGCCAGGAGGGTGGAAAGGGTTTGAGGTGGGGAAGGCTACTTACTCGGTGTGCTGGCAGAGCCCCAGCCCTGCTGGCCACTGACTCAGTGGTATGGCTGCCCCCTGTGGACATTCTTCAGGATAGCTCTCTCTTATGGGCTCACTGCTTCCAGTGGCCACTCTCATATTGTGTCCCACTGAACAGCAGCTCCCTCCTTTTCCATGTTCTGGAAAACAGTCCCATTCCCAGCACTTCCCATTTTCCTGGCACAACCAAATTCTGACCTAGAGTTAAGTTAGGGTAAGAAGAAGCTGCTTACCAAATTTGGTGACTCTAGCTCTTACCATTTAGGAGGTGTTCTTGAACAAATGGACTCACAGACAGATAAGCACACTCTAAAATATACAGATAGATAAGAGTAGAAATTGTCTTGGTGTGGATTACGTATGTATGTAGCTTACATGCTTCCAGTTGCTATCAGCAGTTTGTTATACTCCATTTTAAATCCATCCTTGAACACAGCTATCTTGTTCTTGACATCCACAGCTGCAACCTGCAATCATTTCTAATTAACATTAAAGGATAAAATCTGAGATGCTTATTGAGATACCTGTTACAGCTCTCCTCCTACCCCCATGTTCTATGAAGATTGTTTTTTGGATAGAAATGTGCATAATTCAAAGATGCTTCATGCAAAACAGATCACGTAACATATCAATTTTACAGTCACAGTTTGCTGAATCTGTATATCCTATTTTTGTTGATGTGTCATTCTTGTATGTGAAGTTATAAATATGAAGTGTGAATCTGTTTATAATTTTAAATGTGCCAGTGAGGACCATTATTGATGCTCTATAAACATAATGACTCAATACTCATATCAATGACCTGAGAATACTGTAATTATGTTTGTCTGGTAAACCCATATTGTGGTTGGTCCTAGAATGAGATGACCATGCCACCTACTACTGGAATCCATCTTGACCCAGGTATTTTTCCATGGGGATGGGGAGCTGTGAACAATGGGTTCTCGGCCTTGGGGAAAGTCTCTTTAAGCAATGGGAAGCCATCAGTCCTTTGTCTTCATCTGGCCTTTGAAACTGCCTGGCCCACTCTAAGAGGATACAAAGAACTTTGAAGAAACAGTAGACCTGGACCAAAATAAAGATCAACTCTGTCTCAAAGCTTTTTACTTGATATAATAACAGCTGTTTAGGGTAAGAATTTGCATGTAACAAGTTTCTTAGTGGATTAAAACTAGTGGGGTTTTTTTGTTCATTTTAATTTAGTAACTTACTTTAATCTCTTTTGACCACTTAAACCTTACCTTTTATACTTACTAAAAACACTTTTGTTTATTATAAAGCCCAGTGTAAATAATTACTGGGGAAGCGACCACTGTACATATATCTCTTTCATTGAAAAGGGAGACGGATACCTTATGAGTTTTCTCTGTCTAAAACTTTTACCCAGAGTAAGATGGATTTATTTGGGGTTTTGATCCCTTCACCAGCTCCCTGGGAACTGACCACAGAGATGCTGCTGCACCATTCTGTACACTGTTGGCACTGGCATTGGCATCCCTAGAGACAGTCAGGCTGGAGCAGAGCTTGTCTGTCATGGAGGGAAATCTCTGCTGCAGATCAAGTCATAAAGACAGAAATGAAAACAAAGGACTATGAAACATGGCTCCAAAAGAAGATTCAATTAGCCATTGAGGGACCTAACTGCCATGATTCTTTCTAGCTCTTTTCTGAACCCTTTAAAAGTCCTAGCCTTCACCATATCCTCTGGCAAGAAGTACCACAGGCTGACTGTGCAGTGAGTGAAGAAAAACTTCCTTTTGTTTGTTTTAAATCTACTGCCTATTAATTTCATTTGGTGACCTCTAGTTCTTGTATTGTGGGAATAAGTAAATAACTTTTCCTTATTCACTTTTTCCACTCCACTCATAATTTTATAGACCTCTATCATATCCCCCCCTAGTTTCCTCTTTTCTAAACTGAAAAGTCCCAGTCTTTTTAATCTCTCTTTATATGGGACCTGTTCCAAACTCCTAATCATTTTCATTGGCCTTTTCTGAATCTTTTCCAATGGTACTTGGTGTTCCAAGTTTCACTTTTGGTTGTTTTAAATTTCTCTCCATCAACGCGAGGTCTACCAATTTTAGGGTTGACCTCCTTAAATCCTCAAAGGTCATTTCATATAGTGTTCCTTGTGCTGTCAGGAGACAGATACTGTTCAATAATCACTGCTAAATTAAAACAAACTATGCCAGTTGTCAGTGTCTATATGTTTCCATGCTAATCAAGAGACACCTGGGGCACGATCCACATGGGGCAGCTGCATTGCAGTGCCTAACATTTTGGCACCCTGTGCCATAGTGGAATTCACAATGAGATATTCATAGTCACTACACAATGCAAAGGAAAAGTTTGGTGCTAAGAATGGGATTTATAAAAGCCAACATGCTGAGTGGGCAACCACATAAACCAGCCAATAGAAAATGCCACGAGAAGGAATGGGGCCGAAGCCCCTCCTCTCAACAGGAGTTAGGTGCCTTCATGCAGGCGAGACATTCTGGGGTTCCACTGAATGTGTTCAGTGTGAGAACAGACACAATGAGCATCCATCCTGCAGCTATTTGCTAGCTAAGCAAACAGCAACTTTGAATAGCAACATCCAGATGGGATCTTGCTGTGAAGCAAGGGCTCCAATGCAGCTTTTGGCAACATTCTCTATAGGTAATTTGACAGTGCCAGCTAGCAAAGTTAGCGTGTGCTTTTTCCAGCTACATACAGTCCCTGTGTTCTAGACAGAGTCTCCAAGATGCATACTGTATGCTATCTTGTGTAAGGATAGCATGCAAATGTTGTTCTTCTTACCTGAGTTTCTGTCAGGACCTCAATGTCATTTGTACGGAAGAATTCCTTCGGGCGCAAGATGATCTGATCTGAGTGGGAATCCATTGACTGCAACAAAGAATCCATTTTGCTGTCAATTAAACAGTTGCAAATTCTCATTACATTACATCCCTCTTAATCTGAATGACATTGCTTTTCACTGATAGTCTGAAATTTAAAAATGGCGGCGCCTGGCAACATGCAAAGGAAGCCCGGGAAATTCAAATCCCAGGCTTCATTTGCAAGTTCGTATGACTACATTAACCACCCTAGTTCGAACTTGGGTGGTAGTGTAGACATACCCTGTGAGAATGATCAAGGATTTAAAAAGCCTGCCTTATGTAGTGATAGGCTCCAGTCTGCTCAGTCTGTTTTGGACTCAGCCTACAGCAGCACAACACTATGGCTTTGGTGGGCTGATGTCGGCAGAGTGCACACACATATGCACACTCTGCAGTGTTCACTGATTGGATGTGTGGCAGGTTTTTAGGGATGGGTCAAGTTTTGTCCAGTGCCTAACTCTGGCTGTCTACGCTACAATGATCTATCAGAAAAACGTACACAAATTGCGCTCTGCAATTTTCATATCTTTTTTCCGATAGGTTTTTTTTATGCTGACTCTGGCAGGGACCTTGAGATAAGGAGCATCTGGGTGGAACTAAAATAACTGTTAGCCATTGGTGTTTGTAATGGGAAGGAGACTAATTGTTATTGTTATTACATTTAATTCCTATATTCTTCTTAGGCTATGTCTACAGAACGGGGTTTTTCTGGGATACCTCCAGTATTCCAGAAAAACTCCATAGTGTAGACATAGCCTCTGTCCCTTTGAGCTGGGATGGAGGTTCTTTTGGGATGGGAGACATTATCTTAACTCTATGTTCCAGAAGGTTAAATTTTGTCTTAGCTTAACTTTTTTTTCTGCTTTCCCATATTCCATTTTCTCTCAGCCCTTGTATTTTGTTCACACCATGAATATCATTCCTTTTTAAATATATTTATATTTACAGTCTTCATTTTATCATTGTAAGTATTTCTGCCTAAGAAGATATTAAAGAATTCAAGGTATAAACATTGATTAAACCCAGTTCTTCCACTATTTGATCTGAGGTTTATTAAAATAGGTTCTTTACCTAGAGACCTTGATAACCTGACTGTGCAAAGTACTGAATAGTGAGTAGGGCTCTCTGATTTTAACTTATGAACACGAGGCCACTTATTCAACCCTCCATCTATGAAATGTGTCATTAAGCACATGCATTGGAAAATCGAGGCCCCAGCTTTTATCGAGTTCCTTCTGTTATTGGTCTTAGATGATGATGTTAGAATGAGGGAAGAGAAGGATTCATGGGGTTTGCCTCTGAAAACACACACTAAAAGGGTGACAAACTCCAAAACTCCCTGGCATTTAATTTTATCAACAATGCCTCAATTCAATAAAAGGACAAACCAGTCACATTTGTAGTGGCTGGAACACCCACTGTCCAGTGAAAAAAATACTCTCTGAGGTGGGAGCCCAATGGCGGCTGGGTAAGAATATGAAACATTCTGGATGATACAAACCTTACTTAGCTTGGGGCGGTCATAAGGTAAGTGTCTGTCCATTGTGCACATTACAATCCTGTCGGAGAAACCTTCCTGTCTTAACGTCTCTGCACAAACCAATCCAGCAGCACCTGAGACAGATAAGGCCAAAGATTGCTACATATATATTTTATTTAACAAGTGAAGAGTTTAGCATCCATCCAGTAAAGGGCTCCATAATTTATTTTTTTTTACTTTACCCTTTTATTTCTTTTGCTTAGATAACTAAACAAAGAACAAAAATGCCTAGTGCTATTGCAGTAACTTAGAACTTGGCACAGTGTGTGGGCTCCACTGGAAGTAAGGGTAGTCTGTGCATAGAACTTTTTCCTCACTTGTGAAGGTTTGAACCCCTTTCCCATCCTGCTCACCAGAGTTGGAACTGGAGTATTAAGAGAACTGTAAAATGAAGGGGCTGAAGCCTGGAAAAGCCAATAATCAAATGCATTCTTTATGTAAATTATCATTATCTGACGAGTCATTTGGGTCCAGTTGGTGTCCGTTTCCAGGAACAGTCCCCTTGAAACCAATGGAGGGTGACCGAATCTAGGTTTTATCCAGCAAAGCACACTGGCACATAGGAAATGCAACTGAAGAAGAGCAGGCAAAGTTGGCTTCTATACATCTCTTCCTACCGCCCCCCAGGGCAGGGAGCTGCTCTACTCCTTGTCCTCTAGCATCCTGTGCTTTGGCTTTCCTCCATTACATATGGCATCTTGAAGACCACAGGCATCTGGCATACACAAACACAGCCACAAGCTGTAATCTATGAAGAGGCCAGCAGCCTAGCAAAGAATAGCCCTGACAGCCCTGCTCTACTCTGCTAAGCAAAATTGGAGTAAACAGTGGAATGTGGCCTGGGATTTGATTAGTTCCAGAGATAATCAAATACTGCAAAATGTATTTGTTCCATTACATAGTCATGCCATGGCAACGTATGCTGAACAATGTCTTTGCCAAATAGTATTGAACCAGATCTAATTGCATATTTGCAACTTTGCAAAATAAGTAGAAAATTTTCAACCTCAGGTCTCTCCTGTGACTGAGCCTGAAATAATGGGGCATGTCTAGACTACAGGTTTTTTTTTTAAACAAGTGGCCTTTTTTCGAAAAAACTTCCCCTGAGTCTAGACTGCTGCTGTGTTCTTTCAAAAGTAAATCGAAAGAACATGGCAGTTTTTTCAACAGTGGAAAACCTCATTTTATGAGGAATAACACCTTTTTTTGAAAGTGCTCTTTCAAAAAAAGGCGCTATGTAATGCAAACTGTGCTTTTTCAAAAGAGACAGCCTGGGTGCTCTCTTTTGAAAAAGTGGCTTGCTTTTTCAAATGTACTGGTTGTAGTCTAGATGCTCTTTTTCGAAAGAAGATTGCAGTCTAGATGTAGCCATGGTGTCTTTGCAAACATAATCAATGTCCCCATCATTGGAAAGGGAGCACACACCATGACTCTCATGACTCTGTAGAAAGGCAACAGCAATGAAGTTTGTTGCTACTTAACAGCCCAGAAGGTTCTTTTATTAGCAAAAGTTTGTTGCATTCACAAAAAGCATTTGAAGAAAACTACAAAGTACCAATGCAAACACAACTACCCCTTCCTTCAATTTGTTCTACTAAATTTGGAACTAAAGCCTTGTCCATACTAGGGAAATTCTGTAAAATGACCTCACTGTTGCCATCATTTCGGCATGGCAGGTGTTAATTACATTGAGGGCAATGGGGTGTTTAAAGCATGGTTGATTAAACATACTTAGAGCTAGGTAGGAGATACTGGCTGCAGTACTTATTCTAAGCATTGTATGTCAGCTACGCTGGAGGTATAGCACTGTGATCACCTGGTCTGACCTCCTCATAACAAAGGCCATAAGTCTTCCAAAAGATCTGCTCTCGTTCAAATATCAATTAGTTCAGGAGAAAACTTGGTTGTGAAAATCAAAGCCGTTGAACTGGAGTGAGCAATGGTGCAGGAATTTTGCAACATTTTCTCACTGTAGACAAAGCTTTAATTTAAAATTAATGCCCACCTGTTGGAAGAGAGGACAAACTAGCAATGCCAGAAGCTTTGCTATTATATACCTGCTGTCATATAATTGGATTTTGATTGAAAAATGCAGATCTATGTTGCTCCCACTGTTGTGTGTTTGCCCCAAATTCTGTGCAAAGTAGGCCATGTGAGGTGTCTAAGGAAAGCTCATTCTTTGCTGATTCTTTTTCTGCTGCCCATATACATTTATGCTTTTTATACGTAAAGTTCTGTGTTTGGGCTCTTTACTTGCATTTAAAATGTTTTCTCTCTGGGATACTGCAGCAGGCATCGACAACCTATTGTGAGGGTTGGTTACGCAATGAATTGCTATGCTGCATGGACAATGGCTCTTGGGGTGGCCAATAAACACCTGAGAAATTATTTTGGGAACCTGCAGACCCACAGGCACCATATGGCTGTTTGCATTAAAAGGACACGGGCAGGTGAGTTGATCATCTGATCATCTCCATTTTGGGAGGTACTATCACTTAGGAGAACAATAGATTTCCCTCCTCATGGGCAAGATTATAAAAGGATCCTGGGGTATGTCTACACTACCCCGCTAGTTCGAACTAGCAGGGGTAATGTAGTCATCCGCAGTTGCAAATGAAGCCCGGGAAATTCAAATCCCGGGCTTCATTTGCAACTGCGGATGACTACATTACCCCTGCTAGTTCGAACTAGCAGGGGTAATGTAGTCATCCGCAGTTGCAAATGAAGCCCGGGAAATTCAAATCCCGGGCTTCATTTGCAACTGCGGATGACTACATTACCCCTGCTAGTTCGAACTAGCAGGGGTAATGTAGTCATCCGCAGTTGCAAATGAAGCCCGGGAAATTCAAATCCCGGGCTTCATTTGCAACTGCGGATGACTACATTACCCCTGCTAGTTCGAACTAGCGGGGTAGTGTAGACATACCCCTAGAGAGTCCTCCATCTTTGTGTTCAGTCCTCCCCTTCACTTCAGAAGCATCTTTGCTATGGATAAAGAGTCTGGAAGGGTCTGTTGATGAGCCATCCTAAGATAGGATGCATTCCAGAGACTTTTAAGCTGGCAGTTTGTTACATCTCTGCTAAGAGCCTGAATCAAGAACTTGGTGACTGATGTATGTAATGTGCTTTCTTTAGCAATTCTATTCTCAACCTTTTCCTTCTTTTTAGTAACAAATCTTCAGATTTTAGCTGCTAGAGGATTGGCCCCGGGTGCTCTTGTGGGTAAAATCTGAGGTGTAAACTTACCTGGCACTGTGGCTGGGCCTTTGCATGGGTGTTTAGTATGCTAGACCGGGAAAGGCCTCTTCAACCACCAGCCTGGCCCCGCCCACACTCCACCCTCAGAATGCCTATTATAGGTATTCTGGGGGTGGAGGGTTGCTACCCTCAGCATTCACTCCCCCCCGCCCACACACACACTGGAGGCCAGGGAGGCTAGAGCGTGCTGCCTGCTCTCCTCATATTCTGGGGCTGGAGAGACTGGAGTCGAGTGCTGCACATGCCCCAGGCCAGGGAGGCTCAGGCTGCATGCCCTCTATCCTCCCCATAGTTATGGCTGAGGAGGCTTGGGTCGTGCACTGCCCACCCTCCCCATGCTCCAGGACTGGAGAGTGGCATGCGTGTACCTGTCCTCTTTCACTCACCATGGGAGGGGGCCCTCAGCTGAAGGGGCTGGGGACTTGCCTCCCCAGCTTTAACTTCACCAACAGCCCAGTGTCTTTTGGGAACCTTTTTGTGGTTGGTGATACTGTTTTTCATAACCTCCCACCTGTGTAAGGTATGACACTGCTTGCGGTCCAGGTAACGCTGGAATGTCTAAGGGGATTGCTTGTGAGACTTCTTGCTGGCTAGATGGGCAGCTGGTGTGCTCTGTGTGACTGGTTTGCTACTTTATAGAGGAGGGCCCTAGTCTTGGGCTATAAGTAGCCTTGGTGCTAAGCGATTTGCCCTGATTTGACCCTCGCAGTGTTGCACCCAGACCACCTGTTATATTGCATCTGCATTTATAAAGCCTGGGAGAGTGGAGGTTAGTAGCAGTTCAGGAGCATGGGTGTGGAAGTAGCTAAGGAACTAGTAGCTGGGGTGGCGATTAGACAGAAAGGTGCCTATGGAGTCTGGTGGCAGTTTAGGAGGAAATCGCTGTTTTTACGGAGAGGGAGAATTAAAACATATCAGGTACAGGAATTAGGGGTTACTTATACATAGAGGCTACGTCTACATTGGCCCCCTATTACGGAATAGGGATGCAAATGTAGCACTTGGGAAGAGGCAAATGCGCGGGGGATTTAAATATCCCCTTTTTTCCGGCTTGGAGATAAGCCGGAGAAAAGCGTCCAGACTGGCGCGATCCTCTGGAATAAAGCCCTATTCTGGAGGATCTCTTATTCCTACGCGCATTTGCCTCTTCCAAAGTTCTACATTAGCATGCCTATTTCGTAATAGGCGGCCAATGTAGACGTAGCCAGAATGTATCCATTGCTCTGGTGAGTTGGTGTGTGTGAGCTCAATACAGACCAGGAACATGAATCACTGGGCTAACTCTGTGGTGAAGAGATATGCTGAGAAACTTGCAATGGGAGAGGTAATTACTTACCCAGGGTGGGAGGTTGGAGATAGATTTCCTCAAAGTTCAGGAACAAATGTCTATAAATTAGGAGCATGTGAGTGTTGCACATGGAGTCAGGCTGACTTATTGCTTAGCCCAGGCTAATAGTTAGTGTAATGGCTTAGTTTATAGTTCTAGGTAGGTGGATTTTGAATGTGGTCCATCCACATTAGGAGAATGGACAGTTTTGTATCCAGACTGGCAGTGGGATGGGTGTATCCACACAATACCAGAAAGATGACGAGTGTACATCAGTTAACATATATACTATTAATTGTTCTCTTTATATCTGCCATGTAATGACAGACCTGCTGCTGACAGTGGGCACATCTCAATACCTGCTCCGATGATCAGCACATTGGTGCTACTGATACTGTAGTTGCTGATGGAGATACATTTTGCCATAACCTTTGTCCTTCTTTGTGTCAGAAGAGCCTGCATAACAATTAAGGAGATGACTGTCATTAATAGGTCAAGGTTTTAACTTTGCCAGGTACAAATGCAAAGAGCCAAGAGTTGTTCTGTAAAGCAGCTTAGATGAAAGCTTTCCTCATACTGGCTAAAGAGGATTCCAAACTCACATCCAACAAAAGCATTATAAGACTATAAAATCTTTCCTCCAGGCATGTCACTAAGCCACTCCCAGAAGGCAGGTGAAAAATAAATCCATCACCAGCCACAAATTCATCCAGGGCAGAAAGTTTGAGTATCAAACAAAGCTGCAGCTGTGCTAGCTCAATGGCCTTACAATTATTCACCAGCAAGTTCTAGCAAAGTTAACTTCTGCCACCCTACGTCCCCTACTTTGCCGATTTAAGAGCTCAGCACAGAATGGTTGGGTGAAACACCTATTCTGAGATAGGAAGGTGTCAAATCCCAACATTCACATGTGTAACCTGGATAGATGGAACAAGGCATCACAAATCATCTGTCCACGTGCTGGCAGCTACAACTGTAAGTTTGGGCCAAATCTTGGAGTCACTGGAGCTCCTTAGATGTACATGGGTAGATATCAGAACATGGCTCCTAATAGGTAAAATGTCCATAGAATAGTAAGAGTGGAAGGAACCACGAGAGTCTTCTAGTCCAGTCCCCTGCACTCAAGGAAGGACTAAATATTGTCTAGACCACCCCGACAGGTGTTAGTCTAATCTGCTCTTAAAAATCTCCAATAACAGAGATTCTACAACATTCATAAGCAATTTATTCAAGCACTCAACCACCCTGACAGGATTTTTTTCCCTAATGTCCCAACTAAACTATCCTTGCTGTAATTGGAACCCATTGCTTCTTGTCCTATCCCCATAAAGATAACATTTCTTCTTCTTCTTCTTCACAGCTTTTTGTGTACTTAAAAACTGTTACGTCCCCCCCTCAATCTTCTCTTCCCCAGGCTTAACAAAAACTTTTTTTTGCAAATCTTCCCTCATAGATTATATTTTCTAGAGTTCTATGTTGGTGGGCCTTATGTGTGGTCTGTACACATTCTTCATTTTTGTTGCAAATCTGAGCATTCTCTAAATGCAATGCTACAGCAGTCCTTGTGGAACTCACTAGAAGACAGGAGATAACCTCAGTAAGTTGAACCCCATCGTAGCAGTAAGGATGCAGGGTGGAAGTGTGGATGATCTATTTATTTGCTGTTTGGACATTTGTTTACCTAACCAGTGGGCCAAAGGATCAAATCTCCTTTGCTTCTTGGCATGTTGTAGTCCCCCGCCCCTCTATTTGGATACCAATGGAATCTCTTGCCCTCACCTGTTTGCTCGCTCGGATGTACACCTTCTCCTTCTCAATTTTCACCTGAGGCGAGAAGACATATTTAGAATATTTAGAACATATTTGTCGCATATTTAGAATCTCTAGGTTTAAAATGCCTGTTTATCTATTCTGTGCTAGCCAATGTTGAATTGCATATAAGTCAGTGCAAAACAGGTTCTGTCCATTCAGACACATTGCACCATTTGCTGTATTTCTCAGCACCACCATATCCGGGGGGGCACCTAGACACCCTTCCTCCCCACTTCTCTCCCAACCCCACTGGTTTTCACCAGCAGCAGCCTTTATGTCAGGAGTGGCCAATTCGTGGCTCTCCAAAGAAAAAATTGCAGCTCCTGCACCTGCACTCGCGGCTCTGAAAGGGGCAGCGTGTTTTGCTCTGAAAGAGACAGAGATGGAGTTGCAGTGTCCCATGCAGGCTTCAAAATGGCCGCCTTTAAAATGGTTGCCATAAAATGGCAATGCCGCTCTACTCGTGGCTTTTTGTTTTTGTGGGTTTTTTTTCTTTTTACTCGACTGAACATGGTGGCCTCAACAACGTTTTCCCCCTTGGCTCTTCGTGGTGTATCTAGCACTATGTTGACTCTTCGTCTGTAACTGGTTGGCCACCCCTGCTTTATGTAACAAGCTCTTCTCTCCCTCTCTCCTTCCTCCTTAACCTGGAGGCATGGGCAGCAGGCAAGGGGAGGCATGCCTTCCCTGGGTCTTAGTGCACAACCTCTCCCTTCTTACTATCCCTATTCTGACCATTCCTGAAGGCTCCCACAACAGACTGCTGCTGCTTGCACATCCTTAGTAGATCTTTTAACTTAGAAGTGAAAAGCCTTGCAGCTTGCCAGACCTATTAGCATAACACTGGACCTGTGAAAGAGCCATTAAGTGATAATGAAACCATTTAACAGGCTTGTGCCAACCATGAATTTATGGACAGAATCAGTTATGCATTACTATGTCTAGAGGACCTTTGTTTAAAATTTGCTTTAAATATTTCATTAGTTTGTTGCTGAACATTATGAAAATCACATCTCTAAAAAAATCCTTCCATAGATATTTAGATGCATAATCTTCAATATTCAGTTTTAGCCTCAAATCTTTGGAACTTCAGACATATATTTTTAAATAATTTTTTCAATAGACCATCCTCATCTAATATATGCATTTTAATTACTATAGCACAAAACCTGCTTCCAAAGTCTTTCTGTCCTTACTATTCATCCCTTCAGTCTTTTCACCCTCTTCTTCCATGCTGAAGAGAGTCCTTACAGGGAAAACATTCCTTTTCTTGCAGATAGTTGGACAAATGAGTTTCCCTTTTACTTCTGACTATTTAAGAGAACCCTCTACCAAGAACAGTACCTTACTAAGGGAAGGTGCTGTTATGCCTAAAATCTTTGGAAGCATATTTTAACAATCATATAGTGAAATTTCATAAACATGTCTATTATTATGAAAAGCACACAAAATAAATTAGTATTCCTTTTTCCTAAAAGCAGTGAACTTTGCTATGAACACACTAAACCTTTCTGACTTATTAATTTACAATAATGTCTTTGTCTGAGTGAGTTTAAATATGTAGTAATCTGGAATGATTGCTTTATATTTTAAATGTACTCTTAAGTCTTCATGAAATCAGCTTAGAAATTCCAATGAAGAAAATGTAAAACAGAGAAGGACTGCACCTTGTATGCCTCAATATTTACTGTTGTTTTCAGTAGAACAACTGACTTGCCCTTTCTACAAAGTTTTTGAAAATAAATCTCTAGCAAATCTCAAGGTGTGTGTATAGATATAGATTAAAAAAAATCTGTGAGTGACGTTTTTATTCCCTAATTTAGCACTTTTAATTAGGTACCTTCTGCAAGTCCAGTCTCCACAATCTGGCATGCAGTGGAAAATATGTTTCATTTTCTTTTGAAATGAGTCCCCCGTTCCCCCCATGTCATTTGCTCCATTTAGTTCAGGGATTTGGCTAGGACTGGTGGGCAAACAGAAGAAGAAATCAGTGGGGAGGATGCATGCCCTGGATGAGCAGGGGTAGAGCATGGGGGAGGCCACAGGCTGGGCAGCTTGCCTGCCCAAATAGCAGCTTCACTGACTGGCCGTGTCAGGAGCTGGCAGATACTTGCAGAGGGGTGCAAGGAAAATGGGGCAGTCGCAATCATGAGGGTCAAGTAGAGGAGGAAGCAATGAGTGGGATCAATTGGGACACTCCAGCTCTGCACTTGGAAAGGAAAACACTTTCCCCACCCCCATATGAGTCATTTCTTTCTCCGTAGATTGGAAGATCTTACCTGGAATTTGGGCAAGCTGTCCAATCCAGGAAAGTCCTCAATATCACCAGTGCCAATGCTGAAACAAGCACCATGCCAGGGACAACGTACTCTTCCTTTGGATAAAACTCCTGTAAAAGGCACGGCAGGAGTGAGTCATACTTCTCCATAGTTTCCTCCCGCCCGTTTCCTAGCAATCCTGGTGAGCTCTTAGTTCAGCAACACCCAGACAAAGTTACTGATGGCCAGAGATCAGGGATGGCCCCATTTGTGCTGGACCAGTAACAGTGCAGTGCAAAAGCATTTCAACATATAGTCAGCGAGCTGGAGGCCAGAAGTGACCACTATGATTGTCTAGTCTGATCTTCTGCATTGCACAAGGCCCAGAAACTTTAACCAATGCTTTCTGCAGTGAAAGGAACCTATTCTCTAGGACAGATCATTTAGAAATTCCAAGCTCTGTGTGTGGCTCTGCTGTAGTTCTGCTTCTCCCCTGGAAGACAGAGCTCTTTCCCCAGCTCACGCTCCAGCCATGGTCTCCCACAGTATTCTTGCCAGCAAATTAGAGAAGTATGGATTGGATAAATGGATAAAGTGGGTAGAAAGCTAGCTAGATTGTTGGGACCAACGGATAATGATCAATGGCTCCCTGTCTGGCTGATGGTAAGTTTCAAGCAGAGTGCCCTAATGGTCAGTTCTGGGGCCAGTTTTGTTCAATATCTTTATTAATGACCTGGATGAGGGGATGGGTTGCACCCTCAGCACGTTTGCAGACGACACTAAGTTTTTGGGGACAGGTAGATACATTGGAGGGCAGAAATAGGATCCAGAATTACCTAGACAAATTGGAGGATTGGGTCAAAAGAAATCTGATGAGGTTCAACAAGGACAAGTGCAGAGTCTTGGGAAGAATGCCAAGCACTTCTACATGCTGGGGATAGAGTGGCTAAGTAGCAGTTTGGCAGAAAAGGACCCGGAGATTACAGTGGATGGGAAGCTGGATGTGAGTCAGCAGTGTGCTCTTATAACCAAGGAGGCTAATGGTATATTAGGGTGCATTAGGCGGAGCATTGCCAGCAAATCTAGGGAAGTGATTATTCCCCTTTATTCGGCACTGGGGAGGTCACATCTGGAATATTGGGTCCAAATCTGGGGCCCCCATTACAGAAAGGATGTGGACACTTTGGAGAAAGTCCAGCAGAGGGCAACCAAAATGATTAGGTGGCTGGAACACTTGACTTATGAGGAGAGACTGAGGGTGTCATAACCATGAGGGTTGGCCAGCAGCCTGGGGACTAAGGAGTTAACTATGTCCCTGTACCTAGCCAGGTAGCAGTCAGCCAATAGAAATGCAGGTAGGGATTTCAAACTGACAAAGGAATTTTTGGGTTTCCCTCCTTTGTCTCTGAGCCACTTTGCTCTCTAGATACCTTTAGAGACAGAAGACATGTCTCTCTCCAAGAAAAAGACTCTTCATGATGTGTAAGTAGGGTAAAGTCTAGATAAATCTGTCAGGTTTTATTGTTTTCTGGTTTGGGAATTTGGATCTGATATCTCTGCTGTTAGAAATGGGTTTTCCTCTCTTTTGCAACTAAGTTTTGACCATGGCGGAATCCTCCATGAGTATGTTAATTGGTGACTGTTATCATCTAGCCATTCTAACTACGCTTGTAACTGGGGTATTCTTTTGATAATAAAAGTTCTTTCTTTTTTATTTAACCTGGTATTGGTTAATTTTTGTGTCCTGGTTTTACTTTAGGGCTGAGATTTCCCAAGTGATCTCTTTCTTGGTTTTTCTTGTAATACTTGGGTGGTGGCAGTGGTTTTTTTATGATTTTTATTTCCCAAAGTCCGGGTGTTAAGATTTTCGGGGAAGTTTTTGTACCAAAGCCTATAGAGGTGAGGTTTGGAGGTTGCTTTTGCAGGCTCCCACTTCTGCATTCATTGTGCCAGAGTGGGGAACAGCTTTAGTCTGCAGAAGGAAGAGTGAGGGGGGATTTGATAGCAGCCTTTAACTACGTGAAGAAGGTTCCAAAGAGGATGGAGAGAGGCTCTTTTCAGTGGTGACATTTGACGAAAGGAGGAGAAATGGTCTCAAGTTGCAGTGGGGGAGGTCTAGGTTGGATATTAGGAAAAACTATTTAACTAAGAGAGTGGTGATGCACTGGAATGGGTTACGTAGGGAGGGGAATGAATCTCTGTTCCTAGGGGCTGTAAGCCCCAGATTGACAAAGCCCTGGCTGGGATGATTTAGTTGGGGTTGGTCCTGCTTTGGGCAGGGGGCTGGACTCGATAACCTCCTGAGGTCTCTTCCAGCCCTAGGATTCTATTATTCCATTTAGAACCAAAGCATTTAAGAGAATACGATCTTAGGAAGAATAATTTACATGCCTGCCTAATTTTTCTAAGCCTTACCATTCTCTGGAATTCACAAAACACCCAGCTCCTTTAGATTACTCCACCAAGCATCTCTGTGGCCTCTGTGCCCCTGGTAGCCCTGACATTTGATGCCCCAACCACTGTCTCCTGGAGCCAAGGTATAGTCAGGCCTGCCAATGCCAGGGGGACACGGGTTCCAACAGCAGTGGCACCCTGAGGCCTTTAAATGCTAACAGAGTGCCACATAGCATGCTCCAAGCAATGCTGGGGTGGGAGGGGGGAAATGCTGTGGTTGGGCTGGCACTGCCCTTTCTGCATGAAACTCTACCCTTTTTAGGAGTGCAGAGATGGCCCACCCACCTTGTCAAAGGGCCTGTCAGGTCATAGAATCATAGAATAACCTTAAATGACTGCTTCTTGAAGCAGCTGGTCCTGAAACCCACAAGAGGGGAGGCAATTCTTGATTTAGTCCTAAGTGGAGGACAGGATCTGGTCCAAGAGGCGAATATAGCTGGACTGCTTGGAAATAGTGATCATAATATAATAAAATATAACATTCCTGTGGTGGAAAAAACACCACAACGGCCCAAGATTGTGGCATTTGATTTCAGGAAGGGAAACTACACAAAAATGAGGAGGTTAGTTAAACAGAAATTAAAAGGTACAGTGCCAAAAGTAAAATCCCTGAAAGCTGCATGGAAACTTTTCAAAGACACCTTAATAGTTGCCCAACTTAAATGTATACCCCAAATTAAAAAAACACAGTAAGAAAACCCAAAAAGGCTGCCATGGCTTAACAACCAAGAAAAAAAAGCAGTGAGACACAAAAAGGCATCATTTGAAAAGTGGACATTAAATCTTAGTGAGGAGAATAGAAAGGAACATGAAACTCTGGGAATGTAAAAATATAATAAGAAAAGCCAAAAAGAAGTTTGAAGAACAGCTAGCCAAAAACTCTTCTTAGAGTGACAAATCTAAGGAATTGTCCCAGATAGAGATATCTATAGAGGAGGTTTGGGAACAAATTGATAAACTTAACAGTAATAAGTCACTGGTGCCAAATGGCATTCACCCAAGAGTTCTGAAAGAACTCAAATGTGAAATTGCAGAACTATTAACTATGGTTTGTAACCTATCCTTTAAATCAGCTTCTGTACCTAATAACTTGATGATAGCTAATGTGACGCCAATATTTAACAACTAGCCAATTAGCCTGTCATAAGACAGGATTTTCAGATCTCTCCTCCACGTCGGTCTTCTCTCTTGAGCCTCCCGTCTCTCACTCCATCTCTCTCTCTCCTCCTCCTACTGCCTCCTCTCCCCCGCCTCAGCTCTCCTCCACCTTCACCTCCTGCCTCTCTCTGTCTCTCTTTCTCTTCTCCTCCCCCTCCTGCCTCTCACTCGGGGGACCACGGAGCCCAAACAGCCGAGCGGCGCAGAAGTCAGCCGAGCGCCATGGTGGGAGGCGAAGGACGTGACTCAGGCAACAGCGCTGCCCAGAGGGAACAGCCAGCATTGCAGCATTACAGAGTCACTGACATTGGGCTACTATATATATGATGGTTGTAGAGGTGGTCCAGGTAATTACAGACCAATAAGTCTAATATCAGTAGTAGGGAAATTAGTTGGAATTATAGTAAAGAATGAAATTGTCAGATACATAGATGAACATAATTTGTTGGGGGAAAAGTCAACTGTGTTAATTCCCCTGGTTTTTAAGATTAAGAGGGAAACTTTAGCAGGGAAGTGGCTCCTTTCATGAAGTCCAGGGTCCATTTATAAACTGGCTAGACACTTTCCTCAAGGCCCTGGTCTTTGTTAAAGCGACCTGTGTTGCAAATTCTGCTCCTTGGAAAGGACTCTCCTGCTCGGGAGCACTGGTTAGACCTGGCCACACAGCACTACAAAGAACAGAATTGTCAACAGTTGCAGCTTGTGCTTCATGAGATTAGCAGCTCTTGGAGCTATCTGAATGGCTTCACAGAGAACAGGATCTTCAGCACAGCAACCTGCAAATACTCAGCCAGCTGAAGCACTTCATATCTGAACTGCATTAACAGCTTCACAGAAATCCTGGTCTTTGGCAGAGCACCCACTGCTTTGTTGAAGATCTGATGCCACCCCGTTGCCCCTTGGCTAACCAACTTGAACTTATCAGTTATATCAAACAGCAGGTTTATACCACTTCCTAAACCATTTAAAAGGCTCCCACATACTGCGTATCTGGAAAGAGACATCGTCAAGTGGAAAATTCTTCATGGGCCAACAGTCATCCCCAAAATTCAGTTATCACAAAACATTAACAACATTTACTTTTTGTTAATTAAAACAATGGCATGCATCCAGAGAGCCCAGCATGTATAGACTTTTAACTGATTACAGTTTGTGGCTTTTAAAAGTCAAGAGACTCAGAATATAAAATTATTTTAGGACAGTTTTTAACAGATTAAGATCTGGAAACAGAAACACATGAAAATCCAGACAAAATTCAAACTTTACAGCACATCACACATGAGCACTAGTACTTTTAATGCAATAAGAAGGAGGTGCAACTCCTGCTTTAAGTATAAACTAAAACTGAGTCTTAACTATGGGGGTCACAGTGTCTCCATCATCATTTTTTTTTCTGTTCTTCAAACATTATTTCAGGAGACTTCAATCAGAGATGTACTGCATAGGCTAGCATGTGATCTGGTAGCAGACCAAATCGGGGCAGAATGCTGAAGATTTTGATCCTTGTATTTGATTATACATGCATGTGTACTTCAAAGGCAGGATGTCTCTACAGAACTAAAAATTCTGCAATGTAGTGAAAGATACCAAATCACTGTGTTGTCTGCCTGTAGGCCCATCATCTGTTATGAATATGCCTGATTCATACTCTTACACCCAGAGAGAGCAGACTAACCTTTCACCAGTGGGGCTCCATAGTGAGGGCATTTGTGTCCCATTGCATAGTATTCTCCATTTTCCCTGATCAGCAGAGCCTTCCCACAACCCAGGTCCACTTCTCGCATCCTGAAGGCAAAAAACATGAGAAGCATAATACATATCACAAATATTTATTATTACTATTATTTATCATCACTATTTCCCATTTAATCTTATAAATACAAGTGATCAGTTTCATTATGGTCTATTGGATTCTCCAGTTCACTTTCTTTAAAAAAGAGTCACTGATGCTTAAAAAAGGTGCTACGGAAGTACAAATGGGTATGAAAAATTGTTTGAAAAGTTTACTGGTGTTTTGCTAATGCCCATTCATAGAATCATAGAATCATAGAATCATAGAATAATAGGACTGGAAGGGACCTCAAGAGGTCATCGAGTCCACCCCCCCGCCCTCAAGGCAGGACCAAGCTCCGTCTACACCATCCCTGACAGATGTCTATCTAACCTGTTCTTAAATATCTCCAGAGAGGGAGATTCCACCACCTCCCTTGGCAATTTATTCCAATATTTGACCACCCTGACAGTTAGGAATTTTTTCCTAATGTCCAATCTAAACCTCCCCTGCTGCACTTTAAGCCTATTACTCCTTGTCCTGTCCTCAGAAACCATGAGGAACAAATTTTCTCCTTCCTCCTTGTGACACCCTTTTAGATATTTGAAAACCGCTATCATGTCCCCCCCATTGTTTAGAGACGGTGATTTCCATATTCAGTGGCACTTGTGTCCCCAGAGGAAATCATTCTGGACTGCTTCCTCAGGCTATGTCTACACTGCAAACCACAATTTGTATACCTTTTTCCTCTTGTGTTTTTGAAAAAGCCTTTTCCGACATTTGGCCCATCTACATGGGGCCAAATGTTGGAAAAACCTCCACTTTCAGAACATCCCTTATTCCTCATAAAATGAGGAATACAGGGATGCCAAAAGAATGTGCCCGCTTTTTCGGAAACTGTTCCGAAAAAGCAGACGTGTTCCCTGGATGAGGCAGAGTTTTTCCAGGATACCAGAGAACACTCTGCAGTCTAGATATAGCCTCAATATAGACACAACCCAAAGCCCACTGACATCAGGGGGAGTCTCTCCCATTTTCTATGGATCTGCCCGTAGGGAACTGACGCAACAGTAAAAACTCTACTTGATACTATTTCCATTTAATCTGGGAATGCTCTTGCAGAGTGTGCAGGCCTTGTTCTGGCCAGCCACTTTAATCAGCGTGAGGCTAGGGTCCTGCAACATGCAACTGATCAGACTGTCTTTGAGGTCACTTCAAAAGCTACCAAAGTCCCAGACCTAGCTTGTCCCTTTCTCCTTTAGGCTAGAGTTTATTACAACTGTACATTCTGATCCACTCTGGCTGTCACGTGCTAGAAAGTCAGCCTCAAGCTTTTGCATTAGCTAATGATTTGTGTTTAGCTTTAAGTAGAGGCTACTTACTGCAACTGAAGGGTTTTCAAGATGTGTGGTCTCTAACTGTACTCCATCCATAGTATGCATGTGCACCATCTGCCTGAGTGTTGCAATTTTGAAAAATAAGTATGTTGGTGTGCACATGCCTCATAGCTCTCCTCATGCTCTTGAGTGAGGGTATAATAAGCAGCTCAGGATGATGTCTACTTAGTCCTCGCTTCACTATGAATCTCATCAGATTTGCAGCAGAGTGGAAGGAAGGTGAGAAGTGAAATGCAGATAGGGCCCACACAGCTCAAGGAGTCTCCTGTTACAGTAAGTAATGGCCTCTTCTTTGAGTGCCAGGTCCACACAGGAGATTGACAAGTGTTATTCAGATTGGAGGTGGGTGCCAGGAAGCTGGCAATCAAGATGTGTGTAGTATTGCAGATCCCACTGCTGCATTCAAAGCAGCAACTTAGGCTGATGCATGATGTCTAGGTAACGTGTATATGGAGTAAGTGTCTGCTCTCCATGGGTATGTCTACACAGCAACATTATTTCAAACTTAGTCTGCGTCTACACTACACAGCAACATTATTTCAAACTTAGTCTGCGTCTACACCGCAGGCAGTTATTTTGAAATACTGTCAAGCTGGAGGACTTCTTGCTCCGACTCCTGTGACCCGCATTGCATGAGGAGTAAGGGAAGTCAGAGGAAGGGTGCTCTGTTTCAAAATAAGTGCTGTGTAGATGCTCCTTATTTTGAAATAAGATATGCAATTGACGTAGCTCCATTTGTGTAGCTTATTTCGAGTTATGCCCTGCAGTGTAGATACATCCCATGTGTCCTGCAATGAAACCACTTCCTGGAACACCACTCTAGTGACTCGCATGCTTGTGAAGTGGACTATTATGTGGCTGGGATGTGGGAGGTGAGCTAGTCTGCAGCATTTGGTGATGCAGCCAGAAACCCACTTAGAAATTCTCTGAGGGCACGTCTACACTGCGGCACTATTTCGGGATACTTCCGGTATCCCAAAATAACTAGTCTGTGTCTTTGAAACAAGCCTGTTATTTCAAAACCTCGTTCCATAAGTATTAAGAGACATTTTGGAATAGCGGTTTATTTCAAAATTTGGCGCTGTGTAGACAGAGCCAAATTGTGAAATAAGCTGTTTTGAAATTAACTCGAAATAAGCTATGTCATTTGCATAGCTCAAATTGTGTAGCTTTTTTCAAGCTAAGGATGCAGTGCAGACACACCCTGAGTGGATACAGCCTGACCACAGGATCTCTCTGCTATCATAACAAAGAGTCTTGAGAGACTTTGATGGACTTGGTTCTTTGCAGGTAAAAGCCAGTGAAGGAAACATCAAGGAAATGAAGTCTCTTCAGGTGAAGCATGGGGTTTCATAAAAACTGAATACTCTGGGTAAGGTGGAGTTAGGATCTTGGGTAGAAATTTAGGCTGAAGAGGAAGTAATGCTTTGTTCTTGTGAAATACTATAAAGCGGGCCTGACATACCAGAGTATAATCCAAACTAAGGATGTTAAAATGCAGTTAATTGATTAGTCAATGGAATTTCCATCAACTAGTTGATGGGCCCTTTCACATTCCTCCTTTGAAACGTACAAGGGCACTCGCTGGGGCCCTTGTATGTTTCAGAGAAGGAATGTGAAACACCTCATACAGCCCAGGGACAGTGGGAAGTCCTGATGACTCCAAGCTTCACGTGGGTGCCTGCTTTGAAATGCACAAGAGTCCCCAGCAGAGGCTCTTGTGCATTTCAAAGCCATGGAGCTCGGAGTCAGATGGGGGACTCACAGTCTCCTGCTGACCCTGAGCTCCATGCTAGCTGCATGCTGCTGGAACTGGGGACTCCCCAGCTGACCTCGGGTTCCCCGCAACACTTTCCTGAACCCAAGATCAGCTGGGGAGTCCCAGCTAACCCCAGGTTTCAAGGAAGCATCACACGGAGATTCCCCCATGTTGTCCTTTCTTATGCAGTAAATCCTGGCTCTCCTTGCTGGCCTATTTTTGAAAGTTAGGCACCTGAATACCTTCATGAATCCAACCTCTCCTGTGCTCCTAGCTAGAATGCAGCTGTTCCCAAAGTGCAACAAAATGGAGCACCTGTTGGATTCTGCACCTGCCTGCCTTTACACAAGAATTGTCCCACTAGAAGAGTCCTTTTGGCACATGTTTAGATATCTTAGTGAGAGGGCCCTAAGCAGAAGTATGGGCTATTGCTAAATACATACTGCAGACTGCTTCAAGGACTCTGCTCCCTCTCCATGACATGTTTGGACCTTGCAGTAACCATGATATAAATGGAATAAAGAGATCAATGAACTTTCATGTTTCACCACATGCAAAAGGAACGAAGTCTTGCTGCATTCTTCAGCTGGATTTTATTTCAGACCAAGCCCACAGCTCTTGTTAAATAACAGCTCCAAAGATATGAAAAGATAAGAGAAATGGTTTACAGCCCCCCTAAAGAACCATTTGACCCGAGAGAGATAATCATCAGCATCTGATGGCTTGAAGCAAATACAGAAACTTGGTGCAAGGCCCACCTTCTACACTGGATTCCAGTCCAGAGACTCTATAACAAGCAACCAGAGTCCCTGTGCAGTCCAAAACCTTTTACTGTTTCTCTGTGCTTCTTCCTACACATAAGGCTTCCCCCTTTCTGGTTTTGCCAGTCTCCAACTCCCACTACTTGGTGACTGCAGCCTACTTCCCCAAGTACCTAGCTTTATACAGGCCCTGCCTGTTCCTGTACAGGTGAGACTCTCCTTAATTAGCTGCCTCCAAGAAGGATAGATTGAGCTAAATAGAAGTGGATAGTGCTTTGTGTCAAATCTGCGATTACCTGTTTTACAGTAATTGGCTCACAAGTGCCAGTTCTGCAAAGCCTTTGGATCAATGTTCTAACTGAGAAAGTACACGATGGAATATTGATAGGTTGAATATTGATATGCCAAATCAGATAAGAGAACAGGATGCTTCTTAAACATCTATTTATCATGTGTAGAAAGAAAAATTGTGTTTTCATGGGGGATTTCAATGGGGAGACATATGATAGAGGGCTTGGGATTGGACTAATGTCCTTGTAATTTCAAAAAATATATAGATCATTTTTAAAAAAACCACAACTGATAATGAAATCAACACGGTTACTTCTCTTTGAATATCATTTTGACACTAAAAGATGAAATTATTATTGAACTAGAAGCTAGCCATTGCTTAAAGGTAAGTGTGTACATTCATTATGTGGAAATAGAATACAGTCCAGACCAGTGGCATGTTCATACTTACTGCTTTAAAATGGCCAATTTCCCAAAGCTGAAGTAAATATGAACAAAACTGTTAGGGGAAAAAATGTAAAGCGCCAAGTAAGCAGGGCCAAGAGAAGTGAGACAAATAAAAGATATCGCCTCATCCACCTTGTCTCTCTAATATCTAGGGACACAACTACAACTATGCTTCTTGTAACAGAATCAGACTACTCTCAGATATGGCACCAAAACCCCACTAAAATTAAAGGCTTTCTCAACCTATGATATCCATTTGCAACTGAAAGCAATGGTGGAATCTGTCAGAGTATCAGTCAGTGGCACATGTTGATGAAAACACATTCATGGCAAAATAAAAAAAACCCAATTGATTATCTATTATTGGGGAAGATTTTTTTTCCATTATGAAAATTGTTACATTAAAAATCAGGGCTGTAAAACTGCACATAAGGTGGTATTTCCATTAGCACAAATAAGTCAGAAAATTCCATTCTTTGTGAGAGAATAAATGGACAAGGAACTAGATGAACTAGAAAAACAAGACATGATAGAAGTGGTATGTGGGCCTACTGCATGAATGCCATACATACTTGTTTTACTCAAACTAGTTTGCTAAAAGGATAAATTGAGAACTTCGCAAATAAAGAAACTTACAAATAATTAAAGAAACAACTGAAGGAGACTAGACAAGGTCTACTGGAAATAAGTATCGGATCTCCATAACTGGAATTCCACAGCCGATTGCACAGAACATGAAAGAATTTCATGTATCCAAAACCATTAAAGATGAGTAGTGTCTTATTAAAACTGAAGGAAGATAATAATACCCTTATTAAAAAGATAAACTGCACTGCTTGCAAGAGCTAATGAGAAAAAAGGAACAGTTTAAAAAAAATAGATAAGGACACAGGTCCTGATGCAGCAAAGCAGTAACATACATGCTTTGCTATAAGCATATGCTTAAATGCCATGCTGATTGGAAACCAATTTAAGCACAAGGTTGCAATTAAGCATATGTGCAATTGTTGAGCTCATAACGTGCCACATTTCATAGACTCGTGCAGCTTTGCTGTTTAGCTCTGGCAACATTTCAATTACAGTAGAGTAAATGGTGTAGCATGTATAAAGCCCTCTGGGATCATTCAGGCTAAGTGTAAAAATGTTAAACACTTACTGTCCATTCTCAAGGTCCTTCACATGGCACACTGAGGCTTCAACTACGTCTTTCAGGTTCTGGTAGGGGTTGAGAGTGATGGGATGTTCATCGAGGTGGTAATGCCGGGCAGTTCCATTGACTTTGTAAACAAGTGGACTGGCTTTCCCATTGGGGGACATCTCTTCCTTGGCCCTCTCTTTCTCTGGTAGCACAACTTCAATTTTCACTTCAACTGTAGGAGCAAACAGGAATCTGCATTAAAACTAAGCAGCAGCTTTTTAAGTCCATCTGAATAAATTCCTCAGAAATCTACAGAGAATGCTATTATGACCTTGAGACATTACCTCCAGCTCTCATAGCATCACTGGCTTTCAGGAAATTCTAGGGGACCCGATACATGACACTCAAAATTGTAATCTTTGCTGCCTTGGCTGGGAAGATGGCAAATTTAATCTCAGTTTAATTTAGTCTTGACTTAATTTTAGTATTCATTACCCCATTATTCCTTTTTAAACCATCCACCACTGGCTTTCCTTTCCAACCAAGTATTTTTGTGAAACCCCATTTAATCCATGTTAGTCTTGTTCCCTGTTAATGAAATACAGATGCTAGCAATGGGATGTAATTTCTGCTTTGACTTGGAGGGCTCCATTTCTACTGGTAGACAAGCCCTCTCTTCTCTGAAAACAGATAAAAAACTCTCCCCGTCATTAATAGCCAATATTAAATGAGAGGTAATGCTAAAACCATGCCATTTAGCATATTAAGCGTGTACACAGCTGAGCAGGCTTTTGCTACCCTTTTAGAGGACAATTAATAAGAAACTGATTATTAATTTCAACATAGTGTTCCAATTCTTATGAATCCTGAGCATTAAATAGAGAAGGTGCACAAATTTGACAACAGAAGATGAAAAATATCCTGGAGATGAACAGCACAATTAGAACTGGGTGAGATGTTCCTAGAAAACATTTTCAAGCAGTGTTGGCTGCTTTTCAAATTCTAAGTTTTGACAAAGCTTCTGGAGAAGGAAAAACCTTCCTAGAAACCATGTAGCTCCAAGATCGGCACTTAACACAATGCCTACGTTGCATGTGAGTTCTAGTCTCAGCTGTACTGTCAATTGGCCTTTGTACTTATGAATGTAAATGATATTGCAACTGCATGCAATATCTTTGGGGATGATATTGTATTAAAAGTGTCAATGGGTCTTTTTTTTTATGGGCCAGGGACTGTTGCAACTTCAAGGGGAACCTTACCATGGGAGCTAAATGCAATGCGGGGGGGTGATTAGGGAAAGTCATTGAAACTGTCAGCATGTCCAAAGTGGTACTGTCTGCTGGAGAGGTTTGCGTATGTTAGTCCAAACATAGTTTTTTGAGACAAACAGATGAAAAAAGGACTTTTTAATGTAAAAAACTGCAAATAAATTGCCACAAGGGCTTCTTTCAGATCCAACCAGACAGGATCTTCTCTTCAAGGGGTATCCCCCAACCCTTGCAGAAGCATTAAGGTCTTCGGCTTATTAGGTCCCATTGTACCTATGAGGGTGGCCTCATCTGAACTCTTAGCATTGTGGCAAGGTCCTTGCCTAGACCCCTTGCCTTGGGACCCCTTCTTCGGTCACAAATCAACAGGAGACCCTAACTTGTGCAATCACCCATGCCTTTTATTGTCAGTGCCAATTTTACACCACCTTCTATTTACAGAGCTTTTGTTCACAGCAGACTCAGCCAGCCTCTCCTTCTGGATGGGGTGCACACCCTGGCTCCTTGTTCCTCTTTCACGTCCCCTCTGGCTGCCTTATATAGCCCTCTGGCTAATGAGGCTCACAGCTGCTTCCATTAGGCCCGTGGTCACCAACAAGTAGATCGGGATCGACTGGTAGATCTTGGAGCTTCTGACAGGGGATCCTGACTGGTTTGGCTGGGAAGCTTTCAAGCGCTGGCACTTCAGTTGCCCCTCCACCCACTGTTGTGCTGCTCCTGCCCTCTGCCTTGCAGCTGCCTCCCTGGGAGCCTCCTGCTTGCTGTGCAGGGTATGGGAGGGAGAAGAGGGGGTGCTGATGTTAGGGTGTCCGTCTTTCCCCTACTTCTATACTCATTCTCTACACAGAGAGAAGGGGCTGGAGGGAGCTTGGCAGTGCAACTCTGTCACTGTCACACACTAAGCGTCTCTGTCATTCTCACAAACACGCACTGTCCAGTCCTTCACTCATCTCCTGACCCAACACATATGTGGGGGGGGGGGGTTGTTGTTACTTCTCTTACTGCTTTCAAAGTTTGTGGTTTTTGTTTTTTCACTGTCCCTGCCCTGAACCTCCTCCTACATACAACCTCCTACACCTATGTGAGTCCCCCTGAACCCAAACTCCTTCCCAGAGCTTGCACCCTGAAACCGCTCCTGGACTCCCAATCCCCCACCCTGGGCTAAGCCCGGAGCCCATCCCACACTCCAAAGCCTTGGCCCAAGACCAGAGCCTGCTGCACCCCTACCCCTTACTCCAGCCTGGTGAAAATGAGTGAGGATGGGAGAGGAAGGGAGATGGAGTGAGCAGGGTGAGGCTTCGGAGAAGGGGTGGAGCAGAGTCACGGTTCAAAGAAGGGGCAGGAGGGAAGCGGGGCAAGGGTATTTGGGTTTGAGGTAGATCTTATATTGCACTTAAATTCAAAAAGTGATCCTGTGTTTAAAAAGGTTGGAGACCCCTGCATTAGGCCTTCAGCCCAGGGCTTACTCAGCTGGCATCCATTTGGCCTTTTCAACCTGGCTATAGTGACAGATACTACTGGCTAAGTGAGAGGTGTCACAGCCTGTGTGTATCAACTTACCGCTTTTCTGTTTTTACCTTGAGAATAAAGATGCTTCCTTCAAAAGAGCCATGCAGTAACTTGTAACCTCTGGCAATATACCGGCTATGTCTACACAGCCCCCTCTTGTGCAAAAAAATATGTAAATGAGGTGAAGCAGGGAATATCACCGTGCCTCATTTGCATAATTAATGAGGCTCCATTTTTGGCAAGAGGCTTTTATGCAAAAACCCCCTCTTGTGCAAGAGCCATTCTTCCTGAAAAAAATACAGAAGAACGGCTCTTGCACAAGAGGGGATTTTTGTGCAAAAAGGAGCTGTGTAGACAGCTCGTTTTTGCGCAAAAGCCTCTGGCACAAAAATGGAGCCTCATTAATTATTCAAATGAGGCATGGTGAGATTCCATGGTTTGCCTCATTTGCATATTTCTTGTGCCGAATGGGCGCAGTCTAGACATAGCCTGTGTGTGGCTCTCAGAGGGAAAGCAAGGCACCGAGACTGGGCATATCCCTATGTAAGGCAGGGAACTTTGCAGCCTTAAAACCCACTGTCAGAAGGGAGTGGGACAATGCTCCCTGCCCACAGACTGGTGCCCCCTGGAGACCTGATTGGGCACTCCTGGAATGGGCCATGGAGGGGGAACTACAGGGTCAGTTATCCTCACACTGAAAGCAAATATTATCTGCATATGTTTCATAACATAAGGAAATAGTAATTATTTGCATTAGTAGCTGGGAAATGGGGCAAGTGAGATTCCTGTCACTTGCAGAGAAATTCTCATAATGCAAGGTTTTGTATGAGGTTCCTCACCCGTGAGGTTCGTGTGTGGCCTTTTCTGGCTAGTCAGGAATGTCACATGGAGCTGCACAAACTCCCCTTCCCACAACAGACTGATGTGCAGTGATGTGCCCACACCTAGAAAATCTCTGGGAGTCACAACACCCAAGTTCGGTGCCTAGGCTCCCTCAGAATGGAATCCACAAAAGCCAGCATGGGATATGGCTCCCCACCTCAGCTATTCAATGGGCAGTGCCAAAGTGAGGGCTCCATCATCTCTAGGAGTGGACCACTTCTCTCTTGTTGGCAAAATCTTTATTTAGCATTAAGCATCTGTGGCAGGGCGGGGGAGGAGCTGGAGTTCTTCCCCATCCCAGGAGAGTACCCTCCCGATTTGTCTAAGAGCTACGAGGGCTGTCCTGCTCAAACATTTTGCAAATTCACCTATGGAGAGTCAGCTCTGGGAGGTGAGCTCTAAGCACACCAGATGGCAGGCAAGTACTTTTTTCCCTGTATCATGCAAGCAAAGTAGTAACAAACTTCAACAGGCCTTTATTTAACAAAGATGAAGCCTCTTTACAAAGCTACTGCTGTAGCTCTCACTCAGCCTGGCCCATCTCCTCCCCCCTCCTTCCTGTGCTTCCAGATTCCCAACAGCCAGTGCTCCCAGTTCTAATAATTACAAGCAGCATCTAAAACACCACAAAGAGGGACTTAAAAGGAGGCACTGCAGCTCAGCCAAGTAGCTAACTGAGGGGAAAGGATGTATGCTCACTTTGAAGTAAGAATAAGGGCCTCCGGAAAAGGGCGCTTTTTCCGGAGGATCGGGGCCAGTCTAGACGCTCTTTTCCGGCTTTTTTAAAAGCCGGAAAAAAGCGGCGGACATTTTTATTTAAATGCCGCGGGGGATATTTAAATCCCCCGCGGATTTCCCTACGACGACTAGTGAAATTTACATGCCCCTTCCGGAAAAGGGGCCAGTGTAGACGTAGCCTTTGTGTTTCGCTCTGGGGCAGATATCTGGACACAGGGAGGGAAGCAGCTGCGTGCATACTCGCAGACAGAAAAATACTCACCAAGCAAACATTTATTGCAAACCTGTAGGTGCCACATGCGTTTATGCACCGATTTCCCTACGACGACTAGTGAAATTTACATGCCCCTTCCGGAAAAGGGGCCAGTGTAGACGTAGCCTTTGTGTTTCGCTCTGGGGCAGATATCTGGACACAGGGAGGGAAGCAGCTGCGTGCATACTCGCAGACAGAAAAATACTCACCAAGCAAACATTTATTGCAAACCTGTAGGTGCCACATGCGTTTATGCACCGACAGGGTTTGGTGGCAACGGATAAAGGCTTGATAACTCCCAGTGGGCCTGATTCTGGGATGTAGGCACCTAATGTGGCAGTTAGGCTTGTAAGTCCTTTTATTAATCCAGTCTTTAGTGCCATTCAGAGTTACTCAAACTGCCCCAGGTCAACCCCTGAGCCAAGACCCCATGACACAGAGAAGCAGCAGCAGCAGCCAGGGATGAGGGAAAGGTGGGGAAGAACAGAATTGCAGGCAGAGGGGTAGGAGAGGGAGATGCTGCAGGAGGCTAAGGGGTGGGATAGCTCAGTGTCAATGGCCTTTAGTTATGAGATAGGCAGTGAAGAGTCACAGCAGCTGGGAGAGTTGGGAAGGAGGAAGGGGGAGAGGGTCAGGTTTTACTGCACAGTGCATCTTAAGGCAGATGTGCTGGCATAATGAGGGGGGCAAAAGCAATGCTTTGTCTTCTCTATTCCCCTACAGCTCTGGGCCTGATCTCTGCCCTAAGATTGTTCCTGAAGACTGGCCAGGTGCTAAGCAGGGATGAGGCCTGACACCTCCTCATTCCCTCCAGAACATCTGGGCAAGTTCATAAAAAGGAATATGAAAATGACTATACTTGGGACACAGAATTAGCAGGTACAAGAGAACCTGTGAGGATGACTGTGGCTGGGAAAACAGTAACAGAAAGATAAAAGAAACACATGCAGGCAGGTTACCTAAACAGCAGCTAGTACATAGGTACATGGGAGATCAGAGATCATTGTTGGTACCAGCTTAATTTACCATCTTTACTAGTGATCTAGACACAAGGAGCAAATATTAAGTTAATTAAACTTGTCAGAGTACTTCAGAGTAAGTGACACACTGGAAAGTGTGAAAGGAGAGAAGGGTGAAAGCAGACAGTAAACTAGGGAGTAGAAATGTCCAGTACAATAAGGCAGTAAAACAAGGCAAAGGCCAGATATTGAAAGTGGTGCCCAAACTTTCATGTCACATTTCCTCCCCTGTCTCCCCCCCAATAAATGGAATCTGTACATAAAGCTTCCTCCATTATTTCACGTGTGGCTCAACACTGGGGCTCTTTCCATTTCTTTCTATGTCCCCTTTTTCTTTTGCTGTGACACGGAGAGATCAGATACTCCCAACATGCATTCTTTAGGCCAGCCATGGATGATCTCCAAGAATTAAGGAACTGGCAGATGCAACTGCCAGCCCAGGAGCAAAGATTTTAATGCATTTGTAAACTCAGGCAGGCCCAGGGTCCATTGATTTCAAAGGATCTGGGATTCCTGGCCACTGCTGCCACTTCAAAGCAAGGGCTCCAGAACCCGTCTTGGTATTTAAACTAACTACCAGTGTGGACACAAGAAAAAATGGATATAAACTGTCAATTGTCAAATTTAGACTTGAAATTAGATGGAGTGAAATTAGAACTCTCAGAGGAGTGAAATACTGGAACAGCTTCCAAGAGGTGTCATAGCTGCAAAATACCAAGCTGGCTTTTAGACAGAGCTTGGTGAGTTTAAACCCGTCTTGGTATTTAAACTAACTACCAGTGTGGACACAAGAAAAAATGGATATAAACTGTCAATTGTCAAATTTAGACTTGAAATTAGATGGAGTGAAATTAGAACTCTCAGAGGAGTGAAATACTGGAACAGCTTCCAAGAGGTGTCATAGCTGCAAAATACCAAGCTGGCTTTTAGACAGAGCTTGGTGAGTTTATAGAGGGGATGGCATGGTGAAACTGAGCCACTATCTTCCATAACTAGTGATGAGACATAGCTGGGGAGGGCTCTGATTTGCTACAGGGAATTATTTCCCAGGTGTCTGGTTGGTGAGTCTCCTTAAAATGCTCAGGGTTGAACGGATTTCTATGTTTGGAGTCAGAGAGGAATTTCCCTCAAAGTCAGATTGTTGGAGATACTGGGGGGAGGAAGGTTGCCTTCCTTTGCAGCATGGGTCAATTGTTGGTTTGAGTTAGAATAAATGGTGGCTTCTCTGGAATTTGAAGTCTTTGGACTGTGATTTGAGGACATCAGTAACTCAGGCAGAGGTTGGGGTCTGGTACAAGAGTGAGTGGGTGAGGTTCTGTGGCCTGCAGTATGTAGGAGGTCAGACTAGACGATCATGATGGTCTGCTCTGGCCTGAAAGTCTGAGTCTATTATTTTATAGACATTGTATAAACTCTTATTTGTCTCCTCTCTAAGGATACATCTACACTGCATGGCTGTTTGGAAATAAGCTATTCCGGAATAGTTATTCTAAAATAGCTTATTTTGAAATAGCACGTCCACACTGAAGAGAAGCCTCAAAATTAGTCCAAGGTGGGCTTCTCTAATGTAAATATACTATGTTGATTTAGAGCCACAGGAGGCACTGGGGAGGAATAACTTAGAATGGCCCTGGTGAGGGGCTATTTTGAAATAGCAGCAGTGGAGTGTCTACACATGCCTTATTTCGAAATAACTCTTTCGGAATGTGCATTATTCCTTGTAGAATGAGGTTTACAGAATTTGGAATAAGTCATCTGTTATTTCAAAATTATTTTGAAAAAATGGAATGACTGTGTAGACATCTCAAAATAACAGTGCAGTGTAGACACACCCCAAGGTAACAATCCCAGACTTGTCATTCTCTCTTCATAAGACAGCTTTTCCAGGCCACTGATCATATTCATTTATTGGGTGAGATCGGATGACCAGTCCTACCCCTAGTTTGCAGACAAGGTTCCTCCATTAATTTGCATAAAGGCGTGACATATTTTCTGTATTATTCACCAACCTATTCCTTACGCATCTGCTGGCCAGTTCTCTTCCCTGTGAAGCAGAAGACACGGGTTCATAGACAGAGCTGAAGACCTCTGTTGTTTGTTTGCTTCTGTAGTGAGCGATTAGCCCAGCAAAACGGGGCACAGCATAGCATAGGGTTAAATGTAAGTGCACAATCTCATTCAGGTGCTGGTCTTAAATACATTGTTACCAAGTTACTCATTATCTATTGTATAAACACTTTTCTGCCTAACAGGAAGATCAGTTTGCTAACTCATTTGTTTGCCTGGTTGAATTGCTGACCCAGGTGTTCACCTGATCAAGATGCTGGCTCAGCTCTTCACCTGGCTGTTCCCCCTCCCTGCCACACTAGCAGGCACCTTTTCACATGTCCCAGCACCTAATATATGCATTCTGCAGTCACATCTCTTACAGCAGGGCTGGGCAGGTTGCAGCCCGGGAGGCGGGTGCTTTGATCCAGCCCACGAACTGCATCTGGCTGCTTTCTTTTTATATTCAGGTGGTGGCTCAGGCAGCAGGATCCTATTTAAATGGCTCACCACTTAGTTGCAGCACTACACTGTCAGTGGCCGGAGTCTGAGAGCCTTTTTAAACATTTGCAGCAACCCCAGGTGGCTCCAGGCAACACAGTAGCAGTGGAGCCAGGAGCTGTGCGCCCTTTGCTGTGTTTTTAATTCAAAGCATCTGTCACCACACAGCTCCTGGGGAAGGCTAGTTCCCAGCTCCACTCCTTCTGACTAGGTCCCCCGCCCCTTCTAGGGGTGGAGCTGGCCCGTGACCATGTACCACAATTCATTAAGTGGCCCCCCTGCAAAAATTATTGCCCACCCCATCTTATAGCATTCCAACAGCTGTGGCGGGAGGAAGGGTTTGTTCTAGGCGCCATACTCCCCTCCAGAGAGCCCTGTACACCTGGTGTCTAGTGTATGATGAGCCCTTTTCAAACACTCAGGAAGTGCTGTCTGTCCTCTGAGAATCTCACAATATAAGTAGATTGTAGGTGGGGAAGGAGAAGAACATTATGACAAGGTGCATATAAGACACCTCAATTTGCAGTAGTGGGGGCATGGCAGAGGGTTTAAATATAGGCAGGGTCAGGGCCTTGCAGATGAGCTCAGTGCGGTCCTATTCAATGTTTCCTCTAATTTTTTCCATCCACATGCAGAATAAATTTTGGCATGTGCACCGAGGCATGTGCAGATGTGCACCACCAATAGAAACATATGCTATGGGCAGCTGCAGGCACTCCCCTGTCTGCTGGGTTGCACCTGAATCTCTCTTGGTCAGCAGCCCAAGTGCTTAGTTTACAACACTGATCCTATTATGAAGTCACAGAGAGGACTGGGTAGGAATGGAATCAGACAAATGGAGTGCCAATGCTGGGAGCACTGGCAGAGAGGGAGGAATCTGAGATGAGGCAAAACTTGGCAAGACAATATAAGCAAGGAAGGCTTGAGTTCTGTCAAGTTTCATAAGGTACTTGCTGAATTAGCCTAGAGATAAAGGGGAGGAAAAAGATGGATCAGTCACTAAAAAGGCATCAGGGATCCAAGACTATTCTGAAAGGAGGAGAGACTGAAACACATTTCTATTTTGAGGGCCCAGGACACAGAACAATGAGATATTGATAAGGCAAGGAAAGGGGGGAGCAGGGAGAAAATGGAGCTAAGGAAGTGGTAGGATCCCTGGGATATGGGGACAGATTAGAAGTAGAAGACCTTCAAGTCAGATGTGGGGGGGAAAGGGTATTGAGGGGGAGAGCTCAGCAGATTTTGTTAATTTTCTCTTTGCACAAATTGGCAAGATCCTGTGTAGAGACAGAGGATGGAATTGAGCCAAAGACTGCAGAAAAGTGACTGGACTGTGAGCATGGGATGCAGGGAGGAGCTGAAGTATTGGTTTTGGACAGGGAGGGGCCTGGGCTGATGCAGGAGAGAAAACACCTATTGTGGAAGAGGTCTGTGAGGTCATGAGACTCCCACCAATGGTGTTCAGGAGCACAGTCAGGGAAGTGGGTGCATGTGACATGGGTAAGGAATGGGGTCCCTAGCCTCTGTTTGTCAGAGGGTGGAGATGGATGGCAGGGGAGAAATCACTTAATCACTTAATCATTACCAGTTCGGTTCACTCCCTCTGGGGCACCTGGCATTGGCCACTGTCAGCAGACAGGACACTGGGTTGAATGGATCTTTGGTCTGACCCAGTATGGCCGTTCTTATGTAAACCAAGGACAGATGTGAACACAGCGAAAACAACACTCAGCTGTGGACTGAGTGAGCTGAAGGCAGCTGGGAAGTCAAGGGCATCAATAGACTGTGGGTTCCAGAAGACTCAGGTGGGCATGTCAACACAGACCAGTGAGAGGTTGTATCACTGCCTGTCCTGTAACCCTGAGTGCCTTAAAAAGCTCTGCTGCTGTAGCTATCTGTCTGGATGCACCTAATCAGCAGAAAAGCACAGAATGGTTCGAGAGAAGCACCCCACTATTAACAGGTTAGGAGGAAATCAGGCTGAGACCTGCCATCAGACCCCAGAGCATAAAGAACCTCTTCTCTCTCCTACTGGGAACCACAGAGCCCCTTGGAATGGAAGAAGAGCCCTCTGCCTTTGCTGAGGGTGCTCGAGGCGTGGGTTATAAACCCTGATTCTGGTGCACTCTCACTCCTCCCCTTCCATAAAAGCTTTCTGAAGCTCCTCCAGGATCAGCAGTTTATCTGGGCATTTGGGGGCTATAGTTTTGGGGTTTCATTAGTCAGGCTTGGGGGAGGTGGGTTTGAAGCCCCTATGCCAGGGCAATTAAAGACTATGTACTTCTGAGTTTTTGAACATGAAGGGTAAGTTTCCTCTGCAAGAAAATTTGCCTTTCCACCCACCCGCCTCCCTACATTAAACCAAAGGCAGCTATTTCTTTTGATCAAGCTGCGAGTTTCTATCTTTTGCATTTTTCCATACAAGGAACAAAGGGTCACTCAGGGACTTAACAGCAGCCAACAAAACAGCAAGAAATAAAGGACATTCTTCATTACACAGTATGGTGTCCAGCTGTGGAATTCACGGCCACACAAAGTCCTCCTCCCTGATTTGAAAACAGGGCTGTGTAATTCTGAGCAAAAATGGCGGTAGTCATGCATGATTAAATGGGTTTAATCCACCTCCTGCTTTAGGTCATGGAATTGATCATGCAGAGTCCAGGAAGAGAACTTTTCCCCATCCCCGCCCTGCATCTCCAGCATGGCAGATACATGAAAGAGAGGTTCACCTTCTGCTGAAGAATTAAGACAAACATTCAGCAGTGGAAGGACACCCATGCCAGACTTGATGGTCTAACCCAGTATAGCTGTTTCCATGGCTTCAATGCACAATAGGAGTGAGGTACCTGAGTTCCTATTCTGGCACCACTTCAGTGCACAACCTACCCCACCCCTGCTGCCAAAGCCTGTAGGTTTGCTGTCAGCATTCCCTGGGCATCTCTGGCATATACCCTACTGCCTTTCCGTGGGTATCCAGGTACCTTTCTCCAAATTAAGCCCTAGAATGATTCAAAAAATGAGCAGGACAGAGGCTCAGCTGACCAAGTCAGGTGTGGGCACTGATTTGGTAGGCATGTTCAGAGGCTTCTTATTGTAATCAGGCCCCTCAGGTGAGTTCACACAAAATGGTAGAGCAGGAGGAGTTTTAGCCCCATTGGGATGTGGGAGATCCTTGGTTCAATTCCCTTCTCTGCCTGAGGGGGAGAAAGGATTGGAAAAGAGATCTGTCACTTTTCAGCTGAGTCCCTTAATCACTGAAATATGTGGGTTGTGAAATGGAGAATTGCTTGGCCTCTTCTGTTGAAGCTGTTCCAGTATGGATAGATAATTAAAAAGAATGACTGAAACAGGAGTGCATGTCCTGGATCGCCCACAGCCTCAGTGAGGCTATGTCTACACTGCCGGCTTTTTGCACAAGAACAGCTGTTCTTGCACAAAAACTTGCCGGGTGTCTACACTTCACGGGTGTTCTTGCTCAAGTAAATTTACAGTACAGCGTCAGAAAACAGGGCTTCTTCCAGAAGAGTTATTCCTCTCCCCACGAGGAATAAGGCCTGTTGCGCAAGAGCTCTTCCACAAGAAGGCAGTGTAGACAGGCAACATAATTTTCTTGCGCGAGAAACCCCTATGGCTAAAATAGCATCAGAGCTTTCTTGCGCAAGAGAGCGTCCACACTGCCATGGACGCTCTTGTGCAAAAGCACATCTCTCGCACAAAAACACATGGCAGTGTGGACGCGCTCTTGTGGAAGACCTTTTGCACAAGAACTCTTGCGCAAAACAGTTCTTGCGCAAGAAGCCTGCAGTTTAGACATAGCCTGAGTGTACTAACAACTGGTTTATAGTTAGGCCTGCTGACACGGTGGGAGGGAGACAAAGGGGGCAACTCCCCAGGGACCAGTGATTCAAAGGGGCCCAGGACTCTGGCTACTGCTGTCATAGCCAGGGGCAGATGAGGATATTGCGGGGCCCAGGGCAGCACAATTTTGCGGGGCCCCCCCTTTGACACTGCACATGCGCGGTGGCACCATACACATGTGTGGGGCTTCTTGAAGTGCGGGGCCCGAGGCGGCCACCCCACTCACCCTGCCCTATATCCGCCCCGGTCATAGCCACTGCATCACCCGGAGCCCTGAGCAACTTGAGCCCTTTAAATTGCCACGGGAGCAGCATGCTTTGGGTGGCTTGGGGAAGCAGGGGGTTCTGTGCGGTATGCTCCAGGCAGCACTGGAGGGAGGCGGGACACAGTCCTGGTGGCACTGAAGACTGGCTGCCCTTGGCCTTGTCTCTTCCTCCTGTCTCTTCCTCCTGTGGCAGAGTATGGAACTGCCACCCCACCTTACCCACAGCTTAGCAAGGCTGCCAGCTCCCCCATTTATAGCATCATTCTTTTGCTTGTTCTTTCTCTCTCTCAGGATGCTGTTTCCATGTTGACTCACTGGAAGAGATGGATGGTGAACTTCTTTCATGTGACTGTAACTGGCAGCTTCAGTAACTGTTAGTTATAATGTCTATCAAACGTGCCAGACTTCACCAATTTAAAAGTCTCTGACTGTGAGCAAATTTCTTTGCAGAATTCTGAGTGAACTTCACTGACTCATTCAGTTCACGTCAATTCACAGTGAAGGGAGGGGGTGGGGGGAGGATTGTGAAGGGCAAACAGGGATTTTCATATTTACACAAATGAAATATAATTATTGGCAATCAATGTGGTTTCGTGGGAAAATAGTTCTTGTGACATAAGTTTGAAAATTGTCCTTTGGAAAGAGTATCGCTTAACTGATAAAGGAAACAGGCTTGATGTAATTAATACTGCATTTGGCATTTCATTGTAAAACTATCAAAAGCACATATAAAAATGTTCTGAAAACAGGCTAAATGAGGGATGTCATAGGCCAAACATAAGCAAGACATAGCCTTAGAATGTGTGACAACAAAGTGCCCCTGCCTAGTGCTTTTATTTATTTTCCACTTTTGGAAAGCTGTGAAACATGAACCTTCCCTCCCCCCATCAGCTGTGCAGCCTAGTGGTCAGGCAGGGGACAACTAGACATCCACCTTTCTTCTATAGCGCCATCCTGAGGGATGTCATAGGCCAAACATAAGCAAGACATAGCCTTAGAATGTGTGACAACAAAGTGCCCCTGCCTAGTGCTTTTATTTATTTTCCACTTTTGGAAAGCTGTGAAACATGAACCTTCCCTCCCCCCATCAGCTGTGCAGCCTAGTGGTCAGGCAGGGGACAACTAGACATCCACCTTTCTTCTATAGCGCCATCCTGCTGGCCTGGGCCCTTCTTTTGCAGCTCAGCCCTCCAGCTGGGCCAGATAGTCTAGCCCCCGCTCCCCCTCCCCCCGCTTTTGAAAAGAACTCCACTAACAAAGATGTTTTTGTGCCCATATGGGCTTCAGGACTTTTGCCTTAGCTCTGGCAGGAGGGCCTTTTCCAGCTGCCTTTCCCACCAATGGGTAAACAACTACTGTTATCCCTCTGTTAGGGATTGGTAGGGAAGCCCAGGCCCATACCCTCCACCAGACTCCAGTACAGGGCCCCAGGGGGGGCAGCTCAGTTATGACTTTGGAGGGCTCAGTAGCTGCCTCCCTAGATCACTTGTTACCTGAAACAAAAGACAGGACTATGTAGCACTTTAAAGACTAACAAGATGGTTTATTAGGTGAGGAGCTGTCGTGGGCCAGACCCACTTCCTCAGATCAAATAGTGGAAGAAAATTGGCACAACCATATACAGGCAGTCCCCGGGTTACGTACAAGATAGGGACTGTAGGTTTGTTCTTAAGTTGAATCTGTATGTAAGTCGGAACTGGCGTCCAGATTCAGCCGCTGCTGAAACTTGTAGCTCGTGAGACTGCATCACTGTTTGTTAGAGGAGTACCCTATGAATGAGAGCATGGAAAAGGTTTGCACATAATGTGCCAGTAGATGGCACTGAAGAATACATTGCCAGTTCCGTAGAGCCAATACGATTTGTTGCTGTGCATTCAGCAAATGGCTTTGTCTGTGCAGCACATTACATGAAGTTCTTAACACAATTTCTGCATATGTTTACGAGAGGAGGCGGCCCTAATTGCTCTGTCCCATCAAGACTTGGTCTTAATAAATGCGTACTATGATCATCGGCATTTTTAGTAAAAAACCAAAACCACAAACTGTCTTTAGCAATGGTCCTTTGCAAAAAGCATTCTAAACAACAGAGAAGACCGGGCTCAAAAATCTGATGATGAAGGATTCCACTTCCCCAGAGGCTAAACGAATGTGTGATAAATACCTTAAAGGAGAATTGATGTGTAGAGAGAAAAAAGTAAGTAAGTAGCACACAATTTGGCAGTTTGATTTATTTTTAGGTGCTGCTGGCAAACCCTTGAGCTGTATAATTGAGTCTCTTTGTTGCATATTCCGCCGCTTTGCTTCCTCTCCCTGGTCTGCTGGAGACCAGGGAGAGGAAGGGCCCCGTTCGTAACTGCGTAACTCGGGGACTGCCTGTATACCAAAGTGATACAATCAAAAAAAATGAATGCATGTGAAATTGACAAATCAAATTACCTGAGTTATCCTTTGTCTCCCCACTGGGCAAATTAAAGAACTGAATTGAAAATAAAGTATCTGGATTTCCAACACCACCGCCGGTCTTTTCTCAGGCTTGGTGTGGTCATGTCTTGTGAGACGGGAGCTGGTGGACTATTATCTCCCCTGAGCACCAATCTGTTCCCTCCCTCTGCTTGTCCACCTTTGAACTGCTCTGCCTTAGTTCTTATGCAGGATTTGCAAGTACTGCTTGGCAGGGCCCACCACTGGAAGAGGTTAAGGAGCATTCCATCACAGATAGGGTTGCCAGATACTTTCACAAAAAATTCCGAACATGGGGGGGAAAAAAATTGGTTGAGAAAAAAAAAAGGTCACTGTGCCTTTAAATTCCCTCACCTTCTGCCCCCCCCCACCCCCCCACCCACGACCG